ATTTTAGATTGAAGGCTTTGAAATTATATCAATTATTTGAGTGGAAATAAATTTTCAGTCCAATTGCCATAAAATGTAACTAATTTTTTAGCAGAAAATACCTTAAAATTAGAATGAATTAGCAAACTTAATTTTATACAATTTTATGTTTATTTAATTAAAATATTAAAACATCAACATGAAAACAAAATGAGTTTAATTTATACTTGAGAGTTTTCATATTGATATATTTATTAAAACTTATTTATTACCACTCACAGATTACCTATCCATATTTTAAAAAAGTTTTTGAACTTTTCCCCTTGGTTCTATGTCAAAATTAACTTTTTAGAGTCATTTAAGTGAGATAATTGTTAATGCATAAGTTTGCTTTAGAAATTCTGTTATGAATAATTCTATTTTAACTTCATCATAGATAACTCTTCGTTTTTATTTAGTAGAGCAACTTTTTCTGCTTTAAGCTTTTGCTATTATAACTTTCTCTGAATTGAAATAAATTTTAAATGATATCTCTTGTTCATTAAAATCATTAGGTTATGTTTATTATTAAAATTTTGCATTATAAAAGTAACATCAACTTCATTGAATGAAGGAAAATTCTTTTGAAATTCTCTAGAAGGGCAGATTGATCGTTTCGATCCATTAAGAAAGAATATAAAGGTACTGTCTAGTGAAATCGCTAGTTTCATGTAACTTTTGAACCCTTAGTATTATTAGGGTTCATAGAGGCTTCCAGGATTTATACACTGAAGAAAACTGAATCCTTTTTTTTTAAATGAAAAAAAATAAATCCAACACCACTTCCCATTTTCTGTTAAAAGGGCTTCCATGACAGATAGAAAAAATTAATTATTATTTTATTGAATTAAAATTAATAGAAACAGACAAGCAAACAATTCAAAAAATAGAATTTATTCTAGATTAAAAGCATTTCGCAAAATCAAAGTTTAGAAATCATAAAAAAAACATTTCATCCATAAAGCAGATACAATTTGAAAGTTTTATTAATTTATTCAATATTAATATTGGATCCATAAAATCTATAGATTAATTCAGCATAAGTTATTTTTGTTACCAGATATTTGATCCTTGTGCTTACAAATTGTTACAAAGATTTAGTTCATATGTGAAGACAAAAGATAACAAGTAAGGTAAAGTAATGGTGAAGCATAATTTCACAAATATAAACAAATTAATTTCTAATCTCCTCAAAACACAATAGTTGCTTTAATTATGAAAAATACCGTACAAAAAATTACAAAACTCATTTTGGAAATGAAATCAAACAAACTGATTTTTTTTTTAATCCTAAAAAAGCCAATTTATCATTTAACAATTTTGATATGTAAAATAAAATGTACCAATCTTTTTTAAGCGAGCAAAATTTCTGGTATTACTTGTCATTGAGCTAACAATTAAGGTCTCTTGAAATTTTATTTTCCACATACCTTATCTAAAATTTTAACTAAGAATTATTGAATTCTTTATCTTTTAAATAAAATATTTTAGATTTCAAATATTAAAAGAAAAAGAAAAAAAGAAAAAAAATCAATAATAAAGTATGCATACATGTATTTTTGTATTATTTAATAAATAAAATATTAAAAATGTATAAGATGCCTTTATTTTAATTTATATTTGTATATTATCAATAAAATTATTAAAATATATTATAATTTACATATTTAACCTTTGGAGAGTAACTTTTTTATTTAGACGAGGGTATATCTTCTTCCTTTTAATAAAAAATATTTCCACAATCAATCTAAATCTTAAACTTAGGAATTAATTAAATAGCCAATAATGTTAGTGCTAATATATTAATATTTAAAAGATATCATCGAATATTTTTAAATTACAAGTTTTTTTCTCTAGAGATCATTCAAAATGAAAATTAAAATGTAAAAAATATTAAAAAAAAAGCTTAGCCTAGATTTTATAATAAGGTTATAAACATTATATATAAATTAATAATAAAAAAATTGCGTTGAGAATTGTAAAAAATGAAAAATTTTAAGATTTAGATTAATGTTAAGATAGATATTTCCTCATCAATATGTTTAATCATATTTTATTATAAAGATTGTTTTCTCTTTCACAAAAGATATTTACAGAGAGAATAAAAGGTTTATATCAATATCAATAACAAGAAGGATCTTTTATTATAACTTATTAATGAAAGACGAAATTTTTTAGTAAACGAATAGATAATCAAATAAAAACGTTTATTTTTATGTTAAAATCGGCTTCGTTAATTTTGGAATTTTATCTATGCCCAGATTTTGATAAATTAAAAGCAGAAGTTATTCAGATAATATTTTCAAAAACCTAAAACCACTCATCCATAATATTTTAATTTTCATTTATATTTAGTCTTGTCAAATATTTATATGGTCCTAATTTATGTATGTGTATTTCAATCAGATAATCTTTCTAAGCCTAAATAAATGCTTTTGCAGAAAAGGAAGATGATGAGAAAATTTTCTCCAAAAACATGTTTACTTAATGATCGTATCCTAAAAACTGCAAAAAGTAAAAAAGATTTTAGCAAAAGAAATATCATTAAAAAACATAAACAAATTAGATAAATATATTACAAATAATACTGGAATATTTTTGATTTACGATCTTATAAAAAAGTTCTTTACCTCGATCTTACATGATAAGATAATATAAAGAGATGAAATTTAAATTATAAGTGAACAATTAAGAGTATAAACACAAAATAAAGATTGAGAAAAGTATTTAATTTTTTAAAATGCTTTCAATTCCTTTAATATAGTTAATTATTCAGAATATAAGGCTTTGCAATACATTATCTTACATTTCCTGAATTTATTTGAAAATGCTAAAAATAGCATTAATAGCAATTTTTCTTTGGAATAATTCTATTCTAAGTTTTATATTATAAGAATAACTCCAAATTCTTTTCTGGAAATCCTATTTTAATGACTCAAGTGTTATTCATCTTTAAAATAAATTGAAAGTCAAATAGATTTTATTTTTGCTTAAATGACCAATAAATTAGTTTTTATAATATATAATTATATCATTTTTTAGTTATTATGATCATATTATTAAAAGTTGGCAGGTTAACTTGATGGAGGATTTGGCGTTCCAAATTATATTGCTTTATTTTTTGGTAGAATTAAATTCCAGTTTTAATTAAAGGTCCTAAAAGCCCCAAAATTAAAACGCTTATCTGGACAAAAGCAAGTATTGTTTATTGATCTTGATTTAAGAATCTATAGAAATCTTGGCAATAGATTAGACTTAATAATGTAAATATCATTACAGGAAATTCCATCCAAATAATTATAAATAAATCCAGATTTGAATTTACAAAACCAAACACATATATTACCCCTATGTAAAAAAATAAAATAAAGGTTAGTAAAAGGCATTAGTAAGACGAGTTAGTCTAGAGTCCTACTAGAATTAAAATAAATGAAAATTTTTTGAATAGAACAACACCATCATATTAGTAAGCTTTAATCTCATTTACTAATAGCAACCTCTTATCCTGTTATCTAAAGTGCGATATTAATAAGAAAATCACTAAACCTATGTAAAGTATGCATATAAAATATGAAATGAAAGTTCTATATCCTGATCTATCATGTGACACTAAATACATAAATACTTTAAAAATTAAATCCCAACTATTGGCATAAAACAATTAAATAAATCCTTTTTTAGTATATAGATTAATCAAATTTAAAATTTTTTTATTTAAGAGGTAAATTTTGATTGTTAAAAATTCAACTATTTTTGAATTACTTAATCTAATATAATAGAAGTGCTTATTGGTATAACAGAATTTCATAAAGAATTGTTAATAGAAAAGTAGAAATATGTAGAGAGTTGCAAATATTAGAGATTAAGTCATTTAGCTATAAATATTAGTTAATAAATCTGCGTTAAGCTTATATTCTGAAAGCTTGCCAATACTATCTACATGATGTTATCCAATTGTTTAGTCAAAAAAATCCATAATATTTAATTTTACAAGCACCGGTGAAATTGTTACAAAGTCAGATGATACAAAATAAATTTAAAGATTTTATGGAAATCTAACATTTATGAACCTCAAATAGGATTAAAATTATAGAGTATCAAAAATCTCTAAACTTTAAGCTGGATCTCCAAATAATAGCATTAAACCACTACTGCATCCTAATCCAATCATCATGTAATTGCCTAATTATTAGAACTTATTTGCAGTATTTAATTCAGATAGGCTTAAGATCTTTGCTATCTATATTGGTAAACTTTATGTATTAGTTTATAAGGTTTATTCATATTCATCGATTATTCCATCTTAAATCAAGACCTCTAGTATAGGTTGATCAATTTATGGTTTTAAAAATTAAATTTCAAATTCATATATTGGATATTTAAGGGTTTATTCTACAATAGAAATTACAGGAATAATTAAAATACTATATTAGAATTTATCTAAGCCTATAATTTCTATTTAAATTGCTTCCGAAAAATTTGAAAACGAACCATTCCATCTAACTCTCTGGGTGAAAGACATTTAAATATATTACTTATCATAAGTTTAATTTAGAAAAGAGAGTAAAAAAGAAGTATAAGAGTAGCATCTATTAGGCACTTTTTGAGTACAATGCCAATTTTCTTCAATTTAACATTTATCCGAACATCCATCATAATTTAATTAATTTCCATCATCGCACTCTTCTTCCAATTACGTAATTTAATCACCACAACTATTTTTTGTTTATTCTTATTCTTAATTATCGTCTTCTTCTACTTATTCTTGCGAATTTTCTAAAGTGGCTTAACAAGTTTGGCCATTCAACAGAATATAGCCTTCTAAACATAAAATACATTTTCCTTAATAGCATTTCTCACATTTTTCATGGCATTGAAATTAACATTAATAACATCCATCAAATTATTCCTAATTTTAGTCTTCACATTCTTCTAAGCCAATGACTACATGGCCATCCCCACAGATAGGTCGGCATCTTCCATTAATATTTTCAAAATAATTTTGACACAAATAACAAACATCTGTTGTTACACATGAATAGCAATACTGATCACATTGAAATTTACATTCATAACATCCATCATTTGGTTAAAAATTGCCATCATCGCATTACTCGATAGAAAGTTATGCTAATTTATTATCTCCACATATTTAATAGCAATGACCATCCAAAAGTTCCCAGCCCTCCTGGCAAACTTAACATTTTGTTCCTACACAAATTTGGCATTCTAATTAACAGCTTTTTTCACATTTATAGCATCCATCAAATTATTAATTGTTTTAATCATCACAAATTTCTGTTTGGACAGTAATCCCATCATTACATAATGGTGTACAGTATTTTTTATTAAAGCTAATTTAGTAATGAATATCACATTTCACACAATAATTATATAATTGTTAAAGACAATTTTCAATTTTTAAGGGATTCAAAATAAATGTATTTTTTCCATTTTAACTAAAGTGCTTTATTAAATTAATGTACTATTCCTATTCGAGAACACTTGTGAAATAATTAATACTGTCTTCATCTAATTTAATTTCTCCAAAGTTGATAGTAAGATTAAGACATTTGTTGTTAATCAAGTCTTTTGGGAATTTACATGTTAAACATTTTCCAAATTAGCAGACAAGACAATCTAAAGGACAAGAAAATTTGCATTCATGACAACCATCAAAAGGGATATTATTATCATCATCACATTCTTCGAATTATGTAATCTTCAAATCTCCACATTTAGGAATACAACTGTTAATTTAATTTACATATTCCCATCCATCTTAGCATTCAACACAAATTCCTTTTATGTAATTATTACATCCTTCGACAAAAGCATAAAGTTAAGGATAGCATCCATCAAAACGGTAAAGATTTTAATCTGTGCAAAAATCGAATAATCTTGAGGGTTTTAAGAATAATTAAAAATCTCTAATCCCGAATTTTTAGTTTTAATTTGTAAAAGGTATTCCTAAAAATTCTACTATTATATCAATTTTTATAAGGTTATTTGTATGTTCGAGTTAAAAAACATTTATCTAAGATATTATAGTTTATGAACAGAAATTTACATTTGTATATACTTATTGATCTATTTACGAATTAACTATTAAATTATCATCTATGAAAATTCTGAATTTGGAAGAAATTGTATTGAAAGTTATTACCTTAAACTACAAACTTATAGCAATGTGATTATCTAACTCTATTGATTTCGAAAGATGGTCTCCAGGAGAAGTTAAATAATAAAAATCTAATTATTTATATTTAAATTATAAATACCTGAACATTAGTTTCTAAGGGTTGTTATTGTATCATCATAAAGCCATCCTTCTTAATCTGGAATAACCCCTAAAATTCTTCTAGTAAAAGATTTAATCTGTAAAATTTATGAAAGACAACCAAATTTGTTGCAAGAATTACAACCACTAGGACATGACGCAACATATAATGTAAATTCTGAAATTCCCCACCATCCCCCATCTGTAGAAGTCATTAAAATTTAAACCGTAGTACTTGAGTGATCGAAGACTTTTTCAATTTAATGTACGAAATCAGATTGTAAACTATTCCCACATAAATTAGTAGAACTATCATGATTAGAATATTGATCATTATGAATTTGAACGTTATCCTAATAAATGGAGAAATGATCATGATCATCCCATTAATCAATTCTATTTTTCAACAATTAAATACCTCCAAAAGGAAAATTTAATTGCAACCTAATAGTGTGGAGGTAATTCAAATGTTTTTGCTATGAATTAATTATTATCGAAGTTTTGATATCCTCCAAATAATATTGATGATCCACAGCTTGTTGTAGGAGACAATGCAGTATTTCTTCTATACCAATCTATTTGATTTGAAAAAAAATTACTTTCAGCAGTAGAAAAGTCTCCAAAAAAGTTCTGATCAATTAAATGTTGTTGTTAGGCTTATACTACACAGCTTAAGTATTATAGGAGAATTAGCAGAGAAGTTTTTCTTGCTAAATACTCTATGATTTTAAATAGCAGCATTAAGGTTTAGAATACGTAACAATTCATCTAACTTGTAAATGGAATTCAAGAAAATAAATGCATAAATTTTATTCAACATTAATGATTTAAGATAGCAAATAACTATTAATTCTGATTTGGGTCAACATATATAAGAAAATCACTATTTTATAATTCAGTTTATATAAATACTTATTAAATTTTATTTTATGGTTAAGATTTAATATCAATATATATAATATAAATAACTAACCATAGAAAATTTCTATGGAATAATTGTTAGCAGAAGTTCAATAAAGTAAATACTTTAAAATATGAAATTTAAAAGCTTGGAGCTTATAACTATCGCTAGTATTATTTATATAAATGATATAATAATTATTATTATAATTTTCAATCAGAATAGTCATAAAAGGATTTATTCTTGAAACTAAAACCTTGAAATTGATCTATAAATTTTATTCTGTTTTTCTTATTTATAATAAAATTATCTGAAAATACCAAAAAAAATTAGCTTAAATTTTTTAATCAGAGAGAATACTACTCATATTGATTTTTTAAAATAGCCTATTTGTTTTTCTAGAGTATTTTGATTCTTTATAAACCTTTCTCCTTCTAAAATAAAATAAAATAAAAGATTCTAATAGAACTCTGTTTAACGAATAAAAAAATTTAATGTCTACGATGGTCTATTTTAAAAGAGACTTCATTCACATTTTTTGGAAATAAATTTAGGTTATTCTAATTTGTTTGAAATCTAACCTAACCTCTTCCTCCAATTTACTATAATTCACATATACTAGTATTGTATAAAGATTTAAATACTACTAAAATTCAAATTTAACAATTAATCAAATTCCTCCTTATAAATAACATTTAAATTGCCCATTTATTGTACACAGCTAAATAATTTTTTTTCATTCTAGAATTAAAAAGAGAAAACAATTCTTATTCATCCATAAAATTTTATTTTTACATTTCTCTATTTTATACTAGAGAAAAAACTTTAATGATCAATTAAGTTAAATGGACCTTTTAATAGAATTACTATAAAATTAATAAAAACCCTAAAAGTTTCATTATTAAAAACTTGTGGCAGATTATTAAGTATTCATAGTAGCTAATCCTTTGAAATAAAGCTCACCCTTAATTTGCAAATGACTAACGATGGTATACACTTGATATGATATTTTATTTTTAACTTGATATCTCCTATTAATTTCTAGGTTTACACTTTAAAAAAGTAATGATCATCCAAACTATTCAAGTGCATAAACAGTATTTCAATCCAAAAAAGAACGTTCTCTACATGTTAAGTCATCTCTTATTTTATCTAAAATTCTTATTTAAAAGGCAACTTAAGAATCATAAATCCTATCATGATAATTTTCTTTCAAAATTTGAATTTTAGAAGCATAAATGAATGAGATATAACACATACTCCTTAAAAATATTCTTTAGTTTTTGTTATGGGGTAGTTATGCTTAGAGTTTCTGTTTTAATTATAGAAGCTTTTTTCGGCTTATACCTGGTACCCATGCCATGATTTATCAAAAACTCGAAATCAAGTTGGAAACTTGGTTTATTATTAAAAGATAATTGAAGGTATTTTAAAATGATTTTAGATTAATACAATTAAAGTATTTAGGTATTTATAATCTTATTAAAGTATATAAACTTAGAATGCATATAAAAAGATTTCAGAAGATAAAGAATATTTGATTTAACATTCATAAGTGATTACTAAAGATTAGTTTTCAATATATATGAATAAATGAAAAATATTGTATATTATTTTCTTTAGATTTACTTAACATTTTAATTCATATCATTTGGTAAAAATTAACAACTCAATTAGAAAGGCTTTATAATATATGACCTTAAATCAGTTATAAATACTTTAATTAGAGAAAAATTAGAAATAATCTTAATAATAAGCTAATTATCTATATTAATTGAATTTTAACATGTTAATACATTTCTATCATGATTTATTAATAAATCCAAATAATCCTTATTTTTTTTGTTATGAAGCTTATTAATTTTGTTATGATGGCTAATCATCAACTTTTAGTTAATTTGAAGTGGCATTCTAGATTAAATTAATTTTTTTACAATTGCAGCTTATTTTGCAGCATCACTTGTGGCTGCTTGTTGACCTACTTTTTCTGCCGCGTTTAAAGCCCAATCTGGAGCTCCAGGAATTTAACTTTTCACAGCAGCTTTGGCTGCTTATCCTCCAGCGTTTTTCATTTATTCTTTTACTTTATCATCTTCATAGAAGGCTGCTACTGTTTTATCAACTTATTAATTGTATTATTAAGTTAATGTTTAAGAAGAAGATGGTTTATTACCTTGTAAAGGATTAGTGTTTTATTGAGCAGCTTATGGTTAGGGGGTTTTCGATACAGTTCCAAATAAATTTGATGGAGGCTTCACTTGAGTTGTTTAAGGTGGTTGTTAAGATGATTAAGATTATGAGTTCTGTTATGTATTTTGCTATTATTATTATTATTTTTAGGATTAAGCATCATTCATTTAATTTTTTGATGCATCATTAGAAGTTTGAGCAGAAGGAACTTTATTAGATTCTGGTTTTTATGTAATAAGTTAAGTTTTTGGATCTTATTATTTTTATTATTATTATTATTATTATTATTACTATTATTATTATTATTAGGGTTTATTTTACTAGATTTATTAAGATTATTGTTATTCAGCTGCTTGGTCTTCTTAAGAGGATAAAATGTATTCCGAAAGACTAAGATAATAGTATATAATACTCAGGGTCTCTTTTAATGATTTTTTAGGCATTTTTAAAAGTCTCAATTTCTTTATTTAATTTTTTTCTTTCTTCTACTATATTTTAATCTTCACTTATGGCTTAGAGGAGATATTGATTTTGCATTAAATTTTATTACAACTGCATAAGCATTTTAGTCTATAATGAATTATTTATAATTTTATTACTTAACAGCCTTTTACTAAAAAGTAACCAACCAATTTAGGTATATTATCCCTTGTTGATCTAACAACTAATTTAAAATAATGCTCAATTTTATTCTTCAATTCGGCAACCATGTATTGTCCCTTGACTGGTTAAGCCTCTTTAGCAGGTTTGCCAAATCTTATAAACTATTTACCAGCCAAATAATTAAAATCATTAGTGAAAACATAGTTCATCTCAGCATCCAATATATCCTGCACAGAATTGTAAGCATTTTATTTACACTCTTAAATAATTTCAAGTACCTATTCCTCCAACATTTTGAGAACAGATGGAATTCTAAATAATAAGTTTAAATTACGATTGTAATTAATCATCCAAGATTGCTATTGCATATTCTTCAAGGATAGAATAAGCTTCATCAATAATGTTAAAGGCTGGTTATTACAATCTTTTTAATTCTGGATTTAATAAAGCATAAAATGCATCAACAGGGAGAAATCCAGGAATAGTTTAAGCAGAATATTTTTAGATAATTTGAGTAATATCATCTTCAGAATATTTCTTTAAGGCTTGGTAATCAAGATCATTAAACTCATCATATATTTCTTAGAATAATAGTTTTATTTTTGCTCCTGCTGGTACTTTGAAAAAATCATTTTTCTTTATTGATTTAACCTTTTAATAAGATCCTGTGATTGAGTTTCTAAATCTTACAGAGAATTCATGAACTAATTTCCAAATATAATGCATTTTATCCTAATGTTATTTGATTTAAATATACAGAATCTTCAACTGGCAAGCCTGGGCCCAAGACATCTAATCTTACTTATATTTTTGCAACTCTATTGTTTATCTCTTTCATTAATTCTGGAAGGAAACTTCTAATCCTTCTGTAAAGAATTGTTGTTAATTTTCTTGTTAAAACTTGGGTTCCAAAGATTTCTCCTGGAATAGTGGAATATACAGGATGATTTGCAAAAAAGTTTTTTTCTCTTAGAACTGCTTAAATAATCGGAATATTGTCATTGATTTCTTATTAAGATCTTAATTTGACTCCAACGTAGCCATATTTTAATGGCACTTCTTCTCCCTTAAGCATTTTGAACGCATTTGTTCCCTAATCCATAATATCAATTTTAGTCAAGACTCCAATAGTTCGAATACCTATAAAACTAAGTATATATCATACCATCTGGATCTAATTTTTTAGCTAGCAATAATGCATCAGATGTAGTCATATCAGCATTTGCTGCAACTACACATAATATAATAGCTAATTTGTCTTCACAATATCTCTTGGCCATATTAGTTGTTATTTCTTCTATATTTGATGGCTAACCTGAAATTGGAATACGAGTAATTCCTGGAAGATCTAATGAAAAATATTTAAGATTTTTCGATACCAACTAATGTTAGATCAGGACAATTAGGTCCTTAGACTTCTAATATTATAGGCTTGTCTATAATGTTTTTAGCCTATCCACATACCTTATCAGTCAACTCAATTATTTATTATCGAACTTCCTCAAAATTAGTGAACTTTTTGCCTTTAATTTCTTCTACAAATTCTGCAGTAGGTATAGGACAAACACTTGCTGGAGCATTTGATAAACGCAATTCTAATGGTCTTCTTGTGACAACACCCTAAATTCAATAAAATAAGAATTACGGATCCTCTAGGGAGAAAATCTATTCCAACAATATGCTCTAGTAAAGAAGACTTTCCTGCAGATTGAATACCCAAAACAACAATTCTTGGCAATTTGATATAATCATTTAAACCAATATCTCTTAATTGATCAACTAATGTGATCACTTTTCTTAAATTTTCTAATAAGCTCACACCTTATGAATTTGACATAAAAATAAATATTTAATATCATTCTATTTTAAATAACCCTTATATAATAATTATTATTAGTATCAAATATTTCACCATCTAAAGGATAAGTAATTGAAAATATCTTCAAAAATATCCTGTTCAATCAGAAAAACGATTATTGAGAACAAAAAATGTAATTAATTTATATGTTTAATGAATTTCTTTAAATTGCAGTAATTTAAAGAAATTTTTGAATAATTAGTTTGATTTTTCCATTTACTATAGATATTGATTGAATATGATATAACATGTAGTAAACTATATTAATAATTTTTATAAATTAATCAATATTATATTATTTTAATTAATGTCTTATTTGTCAGAATCCTCAGAGTTATTTGTAAATTATGATGAAGAAGTTACTTCAATATGTAAAAAGCTGTAATACATTTTAACTACTGTTGATACCCAAGAAGATAAAATATTTGCTTTGAAAGAGGCATAAAGTTGTATTGATTCTGCTAATGAAAATGTAAATGTTTTGATAAATGAAGTTAAAATAAATGGAAGTAGAATTATAAGGATTTGCTAAAAATATTAAAGATAATTTAAAAGAGTAATTCATTATGCAAAAAAGAAAATTGGAAGAAATGAAAAAGGTTTATAATTAGATGAAATCTAAATATGAAAGCATAACATCAAAAGACTAATTATTTGGTAAGGATTAATAAAGGTAAAACCTTCTCAAATAGTAAGAAAAACTATATGATTAAAATATGAAAATATAAGATGCAAAAGTGGTGATGTATGGTTTAGAGAAGGAGGCCAATGACATTTAAATAAATCTTCACATACAAACAAATAAGATAAAAGGTAGTATTGGAAAATAATAACGTAAATATCTTGTGCAATTTTAGCTATTAGGGATGCATTAAGTAATTCATATACTTTAATAAAAACTATGTAACATAGAATTAGAAATAACAAACTAGTATTATTTGTAGTTTGTGGAATCATTTTGTTTGCAATTCTTATAATTATATTTATGCATATGTGATTTCTAAAACGATTAATTATTATAATTGTAAAATAAAAGTTTAAGAAAGTTTAGTAAATACATATATATATTCGAATCTTCTTTTCCCAATAAATTGAACAAATTTCAAGACCTATAAATTTGTACATTTACAAATGGATTATTAATTTTATAATATAATTTTTTCAAAACTCACTTATAAATAGCTTTTAGAGTATAATATGCAATTATTTTGATAATTTATTATTAGTATAATCGTTAAGATTCCATTTAATATGATTATTTACTGATCTAAGATTAAAAAGGACTAAAATTTATAAATAAAATAATAAAAAAATGATAAAATTGGGACATATGTTAGCACAAGAGTAAGCTAGATTAAGATCAGAAATGCAGGTTGCATCTAAATAAAAGAAATTTCGAAATGCTACAGCATCTACATTGTAAAAAGCACACTAACAACAAGCTATCCAAATATATCGAAAACTTCCACTTTGTTATAAGCTAGTCCAACCAACTCCACAAATGTTATCAGTTACAATTGTTCACCAATATCATCATAAAAATATTATTCATTTTCTCCTGATCCAGATTAAATGATTGGTTTGAAGAAAAACTATGGATAGACATCTTACAAAAACAAACTAGAAACCATTTAATTGGCACCTAATAAGCCTCCATTAAAAAGAGGAAATAAAGTTACTAATTTGAGAAATATTAATAACAATAATGCAAGTTAGCCTCATTCTATTAGAAATGAAGAATCAAAAGAAAAGCTATTAGAATAAACTCACTTTTTATGTGCAATTATGTAATAATAACATAGTGCAACTGGTAAGATTGTTGCCAATTTTTTAAATGGAAATCTAGAAAAAAATAGCTATGAATCTATAATTTAGATGGAGAAATCTGCATAAGCATTATAATAATCTGCAAAAGAAATGTCAAAAGCTTTATATGCATCTGATGATGAAGGAGAATTTGAGAATTTATAAAATAAATTTATAGATCAAATAAGATTCTCAAAATACAGAAAGCCAACTTAAGAAAAGAATATTGTATTTAAAAGAAATTATGGTTAAAAACATGAAATGATGATAGATTAAGTGGCTTAATAGAGATAAAAAACAGAAGAGAATTAAGATTTTGATGTTTTTATACCAAAATCATAAATGGATTAATTTTTCAAGTAGAATTATTATAATTATTTAGAATAATTTAAGATAAAATAGATGGAAGAATGAAAGAATAGACTGAATAATTAATAAAAGAAGAATAAAAACTAGTAAATGGTATGATAACAAATGTTAAGAAATTTCGTGAAGATATAAGGGAAGTAAAATATACAATGAATCATGTAAGAAAGAATAAAAAGGCATTATAATAATAATAACCTTAAAATACCTTAAGAACTTTAAGAACTATGAAATCATAATCTTCTGTTAGAATGAAAAGTGACTAAGTAACAAGACTAGATGAAGATGCTAAAGCTGATTTAAAATTGAGAGTGATGAAAGCCTTAAGAAATTTCATGGATAAATTGAAAAGATTTAATATCACACTGGAAGATGTAGTAAACAATCAAGTTTTTCCAAGTTAAGCATACGAGAGACCTAATAGTGTTGAATTTTTTAGACAAGTTAAAGCTGATAATATTAGAGAAATTGATAATATGTTACGGGATTGTAGATATCATGTTTATGATAGAGATAATTAATAAAAAACTGCATTACATCATGCTGTTAGTATTAATTCTATTGAAGCTATTAAATTATTAGTAGAAAATGGTGCTGATCTAGATGCTAGAGATATGAGTAATATAAATAAATATTTTAGTGGGAAGAACTCCATTGCATATAGCAGCAAAAAATAATAATTGTGATACCGTTAGGGTATTATTAGTCTATTAGGCTAATCCTTCTATTAAAACTGTTGCAGGTAAAACTGCATAAGATCTTACTGAAATGCCTGTTATTAAAGCTCTTGTTAAAAATGCTAAAAAAGTAAGAATTATATATAAAATAGTTACATTTTATGATGAATTTATAACCAAACAACAAGAAAAAAGATTTTTGGGTAGAAAAAGCTGTTGTCTATTTTCAGGAAGATGATCCAGAAAAAATTTTAAAATTACAACTATATAAAACTCAAGCAAAGTTGTTTTTATAATGATTTTATAATCCTAATTTTGTATTTTACTATTAATTTAATAAAATGGAAGAAATTAATACTTAAAAATAAGAGGATTCTCCAGCTCCATCTGGTAGTTTAATTGTTAACATTGAAAAGATGTAAAGGGATTCAGTTACAGAAGAAAAAATATAACCTGAAGAAGACATTGAATTATAAGCACTATTTAATAAATTAAATTCAACTATTGATGAAACACCATTTCATGAAACCAAATGTTAAAAATAGAAGCAAGATTTATCATACAAAGCAGAATTTATAATGACTCATTTTATAAAATTCTATATCTATTAGTTGGTAAGATCTAAATTTTTAAAGTTAGATGTTTTACATTTTTGGGCCATTGATTTTTTTTTTCCTTTTAAATAAACCAGCTTTAATGTTTAATTTAGGATTTTGGTCTTGGAGATAAGATGTAGTTTTTCAATATATACAATGGGTAGGACACATATTTTGTCTTTTAATGTATTTTTATTTCTAATCTCTCTCTTCATTGGAAATAGGACTCTTATGGTTTTCATTATTGACTAGATCAATAATAGTTGCTGCTAAATTTTCAACTCTTAATGAGGAACGAGTTGAACTTTATGAGAGGAATCGTTTAAGTAAAAAAACAATTTACTTTGATGTTGTATTATTTGATTGGTCAATTCAATCGAAAAAAATCAAATATTTAGAAATAGCTAAGGCAGCCAAAAGACATGATTTTGATACACAATTTTTTTACTTTGATTTCTTAGTTGAACCTATGAAAGAAACTCAAAAAGCATTAATAGATGATTAGGAAACCTTGTTAAATCTACCTCATAATGGCACTTATAGTGGAATAAAATTGATATCCTATTTTATAGATTCTTATTAACAGTTAAACACAAGAAAAAATCAACTAAGCTTAGCTCTTCTTATTAGTTTTATTGTTGTAATTACTCCAAAAGCTTTAGCTTATGAGAGATATCTATAAAATCCCGTTGAAATATTTTTAAATATTGTCTGTGGAATATTCTAGATTATATAGTTTAACTGTATATTCTTATACTTACTTATTTCTCTTGAGGATATGAAAAGAAAGATATTTTTATTAGATTAAGTGTATTATTTAATCAGCACTAAAAGAGTACGTTGTAAAGAATTTAAATTAACACCAACTATTGACATCAATTGTCCAAGAACAATAGAGGCCTGGAGTATGTTAAGATCTATAACTTTTGATTATGGAGCATCTTATCACATAAGGAATTAAATATATCATACAATTTTAATTTTATGTTGTGTTGCAAGTCTTGTTTTTGCTTTCTAAATCATTTTGGATTATTTTTAATTGGATTATTACTATTTGATTACTTTGGGAATTGTCTTTTTAATATTTTTAATTTTTATATCCTTATATTTGTTAAGTGCAGCTACAATTAATTAATTTTTTGAAGATTTTAAAACTTAGATTGAAAATTTAAAATTTATTTGTTAAGATGTCAGAAGAATGAGGAAACAATATTTTGAAGATAATAATTCAGAGCCTTAGAATTTTGTTCATAAATCTTTTGTTAATCATCTTAAGGCTTAACATAATAATAATAGCCTAATTATATATTAAAGAATAGATAACTTGATTGATTCTTTAGATAATGCTTAAAGACATATTGAATATGATAGCAGAAATTACCCCTTGAAATTATATGGAATTAAGATAACCTACGAAATCCTGTAAAATTTGGTTGTTGGTTTATTTACAGTAATTAGTTTTGTAGTTCAACAAAGATTTTCATCTTGATTATAATTTTTATTAATAAATAATACAATTAATTTAATTTCAAATATCGCAAATGAAAGAAGCATCCAATATCAATGATGAAAAAAGACCTTTGGCATCTATTCCATTGTAAACCTTCCTTTATTTTGATTATATTTTTACAGTATTAATATCATAGTTATAGTTAGTACATATATTTCATAATAGAAATAATTGTCTTTATTTACAAGGGATATGGATTATTTTATCCTCCAAATAAAATAGGAATTGAGATATTCTTACAATTTCTATTGGCATTTTGCTAATTCCCTAGATTGATATTAGGATCGATTGGTAATAAAACTGAATCTCCTTCATAAATTTTATGGTATTAATAATGACTATTTTAGGTTTGTTTTACTAATTTTCCCTTGCATATTCTTTTACATATTTTTCATAGTCTTATAAACTTATGTGGTTATTTTGGAGATAATAATAAATGTGATTGCCTTGATATTTATAGTCTTTGAATTATTATTTAGCTTATCAGCATTTCTAACTTTTAAAAACTATGAGAAGCAACAATGAGTTGGAAATTATTGATATTTTATATAGTTAATTAGCAATAATAAATTTACATTATAAATTTAATATTATAAATGGAAGACGACAGCAGAATTATTAATGATGATGAATCATTAATTTCTAATGATTGCTAAGTGAATGAAACTTATATAAAATAATATAAGAAAGTTAAATTAATTGGTGTTGGAGCATATGGTAAAGCATATTTGGTTACATCCGATGATTAAGATGAAACTAAATATGTTATGAAAGTAGTACCTTAATCCATTTCAGCAAATACAGAAGCATAAATATTATAAAATCTTAAACATGATAACATTATCTAATATTTTGAAACCTTTATTGATAATAAAGACAGATTATGTTTAATTATGGAATATGCAAATAGTATTATAATTCATAATTCATCTATTAGATGGCACTCTTGGTCAGTATTTAAAACAAAGAACACAACCTTTGCCTGAAGCATAAATAGTTGATTGGTTTACACAATTATGTTTAGCTTTACAATGTGTACATTCTTAAAAGATAATTCATAGAGATATCAAATCTGAAAATGTTTTTTTGCATGATGATAAAATTAAATTAGGAGATTTTGGAATTGCTAGATCAGTTGAATAAGATTTGGCTACTACATTTATAGGTACTCCCTATTATATTTCACCTGAAATAATACAAAATTAACCTTATTCATACAAAAGTGATATATGGTCATTGGGTGTTCTTCTTTATGAAATGTGCACATTTAAATATCCATTTACTGCTGATTCATTACCAGCACTAGCCATTAAGATAGTGAAAGCAAAAATATAACCAATAAGTGCTTAGTAATATTCTCAAAACATGAAAAATTTAATTCAACAAATTTTATAATTAGATGCAAATAAGAGACCAACTCTAGAATAAATTTTATGTATATAATTTAATCATAATTTAGAAAATGGCTTAATTCAAAATAGAATTAAATCATTAAATATTAAGTAACAATAAATCATTAAAATACCTGTTTAACCTATTTAAAGTAAAATTATTTTTGAAATTAGAGAAACAACAACACTAGGTAGTTATAAAAAAAGATGAATATATACAAAACAAAAAATTATCAAGAGAAGAATAATAAAAATTCATGAGAGAAGATATCTAAAAGAAAGTAAATTATATTTTCAATATAGAAATGTCAACAAAAACCTTAAGAAGTAGTGATAGAATTATTTGGTTAGCCTAAAATAAAATAAGAGTAATAATAATAATAATAAATCACTTAAAATGATAAAAAATAATCAAAAAGAAGAGATATTCCAGTCGAAATTTATTTACCTTCTATGTCAAGATCTGAGTTCTTGGAGTAATAATAATTATAATAATAATAACAATAATAATAATAAGAATAATAAGAATAATAATAACAAGAATAATAATTATATTAACCTAAAAAAGAAATTGATAATAATATTAATTAATTACTTTTAGAAAGATAAATTTCTGAAAATCTAACAAATCAAGAAGTTAATAATTCAAATAAAGAAAAATAAATACCCAAAAAATAAGAAATTCTTAAAAATTTATCTTAGGAAACTTAGGCTGCATAGAAACCTATCATAAAATTAAGCTTTGAAAGAGCAGAAAAAATAAGAATGAACTTGGAATAAGTCTTTGGAGCTGATTAGTTCTTAAGAGTATATTAAGTTTTTAAGAATTTAAGAGAAAAAAACACTTAAGATTAAATTTATCAATAATATGGACCTAGTTATCAAAATTTGATTCTAGATATAAATTAGCAGTGTATGTAAGAATAATAATCAAATTTATTTATGTTACTGGATTTTGATTTGGAGCAATGAAATTCATATAAAGTGACTTTTATATATATATAAATTTTATAGTTATTTATAATAAGTTTGATAATTTAATAATAATTCTCATATATGTTTTAATTATTTTCTAAATATTTGATTATGTAGCTTTTAAGATCATGAATTTGAGGAGATCACCAGGATTTTTTTTTAATTACATCTGAAGTAAAGATTATCAGGTAAAATCTAGTTTAAATAATTTAAGAATTATGTAATAAATAATTTTGTTTATAGATTTATTATTTTAGATCAAATATAGATTTATTTAATTTAATTTTACACTTTGGAAGGATTTAAGAATAGTTTAACCAAATATTGCAAAATTTAAAAGTATTCTATTAATAATTCAATAGTCAAATAGATAATAATAATAAAATTTCAGGCTCTTAAATCTTAAATATAATAATGATCCGATGATGTAATTAATTTTGATTAAATTAATCAAAATACTCTCATTTTATTCAGATATTTTAAATAATCTATTTATAGTATGTATATGGAATAAGAAAATCATAGTTTATAAATAACATCCCTAATAAACGAATTTGAATATTATCACAAATTTAATATTCCATATACATAATATATCCTATGTACATGAATTAGAGTTAGCCTTTCAAAAATTTAAATAAATTCTTACTTTAATCTAAATTATAATATTAATTCATGATCTTTAAGGTAATTAATGATAGTATCATAATTCTAATTTTAATTTTTAGTAGGATCTTATTGAAAGATTAGGTCTTTTGTATGATTAGAAATTAGTTCGATAAATGGCACTACAAGATTCTCATTTTGGTTGAATTTTTTTCAAATTATAATATTTTATAAAAAACTCATGGATTTGGATCACTATAACTACCTTAAAAAGAGAGATATAAAATTTGATTTAATTATACCTGAGGAAATGCTTCTAAGATTGGAAATGCTTATACATTGGATCTTTTAGGTTTGATATTTTTTCTAATAAAAGGTTGGTGAGTAAAATAATTTGGAAATAAAAACAATTGAATTAGCTGCCATCCTAAGTAAATTATTTGTTTCAAAATACCAAATCGATTGTGACAGAGCAGATTTGTTAGGAATAGCTTCATTAATGATTGCAGTAAAGGTAAGCATATATATATATTTTATTAGTTCAATGAATGTTAAACCAAAATCCAAATGAATATATAAGACTGCGTCGACTAATGTTAATCTAAATATAGTTCTAGAGAAATAATAGATATGGAAATCAGTATTCTATCTCTTATTGAATATGACGCAAATATAACTACTATAACTGATTATTTTGAGGGTGAAGCCATATAAACTGACTTAGTTTTGTTTGTAACTCTTGATTCTGAATTTCTATACTTTCAAAAATATGAATTGTTTGAGGCAATTAGAAATTTTTACTCAAAAGATACATCAAACTTATCTGAAAATACAAAAAATGTATTTAAATGAATTAGTCTTAGATAATCAGCAAAATTAGTACTAAAATTTAACATTTGACTACAAAAGATGAAAAAAACACTCCAAAAATAAAAAAGAAAATGATAAACAAAAAGGGATTCAAAAGATCAAGAATATGTAGTTCATAAAGCCTAACACTATGAAATAATATGATTTCAATTCTATTTTTATGATTATAACCACTGTTTAAATAGTGGATATTTAAATATGTTTTTATCTTCATACTAAATCCAATCCTAATCATAGTTAATTTCTTCAAGTTGATTAATTATTTTGAAATTTTTTGGAGGGAAACCTAGGAATTATGTGATATTTGAATTTGAATTATTATTCATTATAAATAAAATACATACACAATTTATAATATAATCATATTATTATATATTTTAATCTAAATTAAATTACATTAACATGTTTAAGTATAAATATTGTATTAAACTATGTAAAAACTTTCAATAAATGTTTTTTCTTAAAGATTATTTATCAATTATACTATTAAAATAAATATATTATTATGAAATATATACTTGAAAATGATGAAGAATTTTTGAATTAAAATCTTTTATTTTTAATTAAAATATGGTTGTCAAGTCACTTGCTCATAAAAGAATTGTTCATAAGAGAACAAAGAGATTTGTTAGATTTGAATCAGAAGACTATCCTCATAAATTAAGACCAAGCTGGAGAAGACCAAGAGGTATTGATAACAGAGTCAGAAGAAGATTTAGAGGAAATAGACCTATGCCAAAAGCTGGTTATAGAGGTGATAAAAAGACAAGGTATTGTGAAATCAAATGACATTTTAGATACTTAGATTAAACTGGTTTCAGAAAATTGTTAATTACCAATGAAAAAGATCTTGAATTATTGCTAACAAATAATAGAACTTTTGCAGGTGAATTAGCACACAATCTTTCAGCTAGAAAAAGAGCAACTCTTGTTAGAAGAGCAGCTGAACTTAATGTTAGATTAACAAATGGAAAAGGTAAAATTAGAGCAGAAGAGAAAAAGGAATGATTAATTTCTGTTGTACAATATAAATATATATATATATATATATGCATTTTCTATTAAGGTTTTCATCATTAAATATTATGAGTATTTATTTGTTTTATACATACTTTATCATAAATGAATGAAATTATTAGAAAAAATATTATGTTGTTTGTTTTATAATAAAACTGATAGATTTCATTGGAAAATAATTAGACCATTTAAGTTTTTCAAGTATACCTTTATAAATTTTCATCTTGATTAATTATATTAAATGTGTTATGGATAAATTGATTTATTATATTTCAGTTTCAGATTTATAATATTAATATTGTAAATCTATAGTAAACTCCTCCAGAAAGCATAAGACTTTTTTAATTTTTAGGTGAAATAATCGTTTATTTATTCTATATTTTAATCTCATAAATTGAGAAATCAATTAGATCTATATTCTTGTGACTCTGAAATTTTGGGTCTTGATTATATAACCAAAAGGTTATAAAACATACTTCATGGTATTTGATTTAATCTATGTTTATGAATTAAGATAATTAAAAATAACGGAATCTAAGATATTATATAATTATATAATTTCTAAAAGCTCTTTAATAAAAAAAATCAACATATCAATAGTTTCTACAATTATCAATAATGGTTCCTTTTGATTTATCACTTTAAGCTGATTGACATTATATTTAATGTAATTATTTTGTATTAAATTAAAAATAAAAGAAACTTTTGAATCAAAATAGAGTAAGATATATGAAAAATTAAATTTAATTTCTTATATTCTTTATTTTTGAATATTTCATTGTCTTAACTTTTTATATTAAATATTTTATAATATATATCAAAATTTATAGTTCAATTTATATATGAAACGAATTAATATAATACTCAAAACTATTTATGAAAAGCTAATTTTTTTTAACTCTTATCTAACTTTTAATTTTATTCAGTAAATATACAAATTTATAAATATATTATCTATCATAAAATTTAAGGTATCATTATAAACATCAAATTATTATACTCTTTTAAGTTTCTAGATACAATGATATAATTTTTTGATTTATAATTTGTTTTTGTGTGTAGATTTTTATTTATTCTTAATTTTAATTATAATGAATATTGTTAAGTCCTTATTGCTCATATATAGTTTACTTGCTATGCCAACTTTATAGTGTAGTCAATCATGTTTTTGCAGAAAATATTTCACATTAAGGATTCGTACTTAAATTAGAGGATAATATAAAAATATTTTATAATAAAATAATGGAGCATTGATTTCTAATAGAAATTAAATTAGCTTTGCAGGTAATTAGTTCAACCGGAGTCCTTTAAGATCAGAAGTTTATTATGTAAATGGAGGACGAGGATACACTAGTTAAATTATAGGAAGATATCTGATAATTGATTTACCATAAACTTATGAGATTAATACAATCATATTTTGGGTTTATGATAGAGATGCTACTTTACGAAGGTTTAATTTATAGGTCTATATTTAAAACTCTCAAGGTCAAAGACAATTAATTTATTAAAATACAGCAGCTACAAGTATAACAAAAATAAAGTTTAATGACACTTTTGTTAAATAAATACTGTTTTATAATAATAATGGAAGTTCATTGAATTAATATTTACATTTCTTAAATTTATAAGCATATTTTGATTTTTGAAGTAATTAATTTCAAATGCATTAAAATAATTTAAAGAAAGGGTATTAATTTTTGAAAGAAAATATATATTTAAAATTTATTTACTTATCTTAAAGCAAATTAAAATGATTATCATATTTTAATAATAAATAAAATTAAATAGAATTGGAATCCATCACAAGAGATTTTGAGTAAAATTCATAATTATAACAAAATTATTATAATATAATTTAATCATTATTCTTCTTATTATTGATCATCTTATTTATCTTAAGCTTTTGGGGAATCTAGTATATTTGGGATTTCATTTTAGTTGTTCTACTAATTTTAATTTGCCTCATCTTCATGAAAAGACTATTAATTATTCTAATCCTCTTATTTAGATTCAGAATCCTTTTTATCTTAATTTAAATTATCATTTTAATCTTCATTTTCGTCTTTATTTGTATCATTTTATAGATTTGGTTCATTTATTTCATTTATTTATTCAATAGATATTTTAGAAGATTAATCCTTATCAGATTCATCAATATGTGGTCTTTCTTAATTTTATTATACACCATCTTCCTCACTATTAAAATTTGAAATATCTTTATTTTAATCTCTAAAAATAAGTATTTTTTTAATTACTCTTTTTATTTTGGTTAAAGATATTTTTCTGCAAATTCTTTAGCAGTCATTGTCAATGCTGATTCTAATTCTTCAAAAGCAGTTTTTTACATTTACTAAGTGTTTTGTAACTTTTATAGTAAATCCATTTCATATGTTTCAATTTGCTCAATCTCTATAATAATTGCTCTTCAAATACCTTTCTATTTTCCATCTTTTAACTTTTGTTCAAAGTCTAATTTCTTTCCTAATTATTCTCTTATAGCTTCTCTTTTTTCCATAACAATTCTTTCTTTCACCCTATTCAAATCTCTTGATTCTCTAAATATCTAATTTTTTTGTTTAAGAGTTGTTAAAGATTATTTTTGAGAACTCAATTTCCTTACTTCATTGTGTTTGGTTTGTTATTTAATTATAAAAGCCTTTTATACTTTATCATTTCTATGTTTTTCAATTAATAATTTATGTTCTCTTTCTTGCTATTTTCTAATTTATTATTATTATTCTTATTTCTTCTATAATTGTTCTTTTTCTTCTTCCCTCTAAAATGTTGAATAAAATAGATATACTTTTTTCAGTTTTTCTTCATTCTTTTTTTTAAGATAATAAATTTCCAATGCCTTTTTACGTGTCTCCTCTATTTTTTTTAATGTTCTGATTTCCTCTTATTTCAACAATGCAACTCTATTATCAAGCAATTATTTATGAGCTTCAATAGTTTTTCTTTCTTTCTTAGCAGTATTGTATTATTTAATTAAATCTTTATCCTCATCAAGTTCATTGTCATTTGTGAATAGATCATCAATATATGCTTACTATTTTTGAATGATATCTTACTTTCTAAACACTTTTTTGCTAAGAATGAATATCTGTCATTTATTATAAATAAATAATTATTAAACACAATATAACTGAAAACTTATTTTCAATATTTAATCTAATCAATATATTTATACTACTTATAAAATAAGAAAAAAATACAAAGAATCATACAAGATTAAGTAGTTACAATTACAAAAGGATTAATTCCTATTGTTTTGCAATTTATTAACAATAAATTAAATTAACTGTTGTTGAAGAATCAGTATTTAAAAAGAAACAGATTATTTAAACTTACTTAAAAACTAATGTATTCAAGTATTAATAAATTGAATCAGATTTGTATTTGAATGAATCAATATATTTTATACATTTTGCATTAGCAAACTTTACCCTTCTTATGCCATCCAGTTCCATTACATTTTAAGCAAATTCCCATAGCCCATAAACAATCTTTGCATTACTTTGTTTTACCTTTCTTCATGTAGTATCCAGTTCCTCGACATCTAATGTTTAAATAAAATAATACAAATAACAATTGGGTCTTATTTTTATTTAAACATTTCCCCCAGCATAAATATATTGTCCTTATGGAATAACCTAAGCTGTTGCAGGATATTAACCAGGATATCTAAAGAAGTAATCAAAATGTTTACGGTTGAGCTGGGTAAGGTTATGCATAATTAGGTGGTGGAACATAACCAGGTTAAGGGGGAGGATATCCAGGAGTAGGAGGATAGCCTGGTTATGGATACCCACCAACTGGTGGAGGATAGCCAGGAGTAGGAGGATAAGGATAGCCAGTAGGAGGTGGTTAATATCCTGGTTATGGATATGGAGCTTATCCATATGCAGGAGGAGGAGGAGGATATTATCCAGGAGGGTAGCCGTAAGGTGGAGGTGGTGGTGGTTACATTAATAATAAATATAATAATGATTATAGTTTAAAATATATATGTATTTGAGTTAGATTAAAACAGATAAGTATTTCATTCTATATTAAATATTTAATTTATTAGGTTTAAGAAATGAATATAGAATTTCTCAATTAATGATTTTCAACTTAAATATATAGTTTACATAGAAGAGTCTTAATTATTTGAAAGGTTAGTAGATTATTTATAAAGATGGTTATTTTATATCTAAGTAAGAAGTAATATCTACAAATAATTAATAAGGATTATGAGAATAATTAAATCTTATAAATCATTTTTTCCTATTTTACTAGGAGAAGGTTAAAAAGGATTAGCTGTTTTTGATAATTTTATTTGATATTTCTGACCAATAAGTTTTAAGTTCGATAGGTCCATAAATACTGAGCCATCAAAATAAAAAGCTTAGATTATATCCAACCTTAGACCATATGCAAGACAGGAACAGAATAATTGATAGTTGATAATTTTTCATAAACTTTGAAATTGGAACATGTATGTAGTAAATCCATTTAAATTAAAATAAATATAATTAACAAGAAAAACTTGATTTGATGAGAAAATTGTTGTAAATAACTGATGTTATTCATAGAAAGTTTGATTTTTAATTTATTCAAAATGATGAATTTAAAATTTGTATATTAAATTGGTTTATATAGTATCAAATTAATTATTATAAGTATTAAATTTATTTGCTAAAGCTTAGACAATAATATAGACTCAAAATCAATAAATAATCTTGAGATCCAGTAATCAGCAGATAATAAAATGTATTTACTGATATAATTGATGCATTATCATATAATTATAAAATTACTATTATTTCATTTCAAAAAAACACAAATTTATAAATTAAATGTATTTTTATATTAAAAAATAGTGATCAATTGAACAGTTTAATTAATGATATAGTATATTAATCAGCCACAATTTCTTTAGGAACTAAACTCAAACCTAATTTTAAATATTTTAATTTTAAGCTACTTAATTTTAGTATCCAAGTAAAAAAAAAGATATAAATTATCAGTATAATTGATCCAATCAAACTAAAAAATATTGTAATTGTTATTTTATTTTAATTCATCAATTCTTCATTTGTTGATAATATAACATTTAAAACTTTTTCAGTACTTTATGTTGTAGAACTAAAATGTTCTATTAAAATATTATTAAATTCTTATGTTAAATATAATTTATTTAATAAATTAAAGTCTGTGATATAATTAATAGTTGCAATTTCGTAATCATAATTTGTTTTCATAAAATAGCTAACACTACTAGTTATTCCTGCTAGTCCATTTTTTAAATAATCTCGATTATTATCTTATAAATAGAATTGAGAATATTTTTAAATGAAATTCTTCTCTCCTAATTAATCATATTAACAAAATGGAATTTCTTGAATAATAATTTAACATATATCTTTTTCATATAGACCTAACAAAATTTCTTTTTTAGAATCATCAATATCTTATGAAAATAAAATACCTTCATATATTTATGTTAAATTTTCATCATAAACTTCATAAACTTCAAGAAACATGTGAAATAATTATTTTAATGGATCTCTATATTTATTCATTTAAGCTTGAGTATAAATTTTGTTTGAGACAATTGCAGGATAAATTTAAGGTTAAGTTTTTATAACTAAGGCTGTAGTAATTAGAGTATCAAAGTAGGATGAAAATCTAATAAAGTTTATTGCTAATTATTATTGAGGTTAAAGCTTTTTCATTAAAAAACTATAATAAAAATAACCTCCAAATAAAAAGCTAAATAGTATCAAAAAAAGGAAAATATAATAGAAAATATATTTTTTATTTGAATAGGAATTATTTATTACCCTTGAATTCAAAATTCCCTTTCCTTTTATTTTATCTCTCTTTGATATATTAATTTTTAACACCTTTTTTTCTTCCCCTACAATATTAACAGGTTATATTTAAGTGAAATTTTGAATTTTCCAATTGATTTGTTATTTCTCATTGTATAACATTATTTATTTATATTTTTGATGAAGTATAATCATTTCATTTGCCTTAGATTCAGAAAATTTACCAACTAAAATTAAAATTTATTACTTCTAATTTTCAAATTTTTTCCAGAAATACAATTAAATAAACTAAAATATAAATAATATACAGATTTCAGTAATTAATACTGCTTTTAAATTAGAATTATTATTTTATATCTAATTTTAGTACATTTAATCTAAAGACTCAATGAGTTCTTTATTCATATCAAAAACATATTTGATATTATATCTTAATGTAACTACCGAGTTAACAAAATCTAATTCTAAAACTTTTTATTTATGTTCTTTAGAAAATAGATTAAATTAAAAAAGATATTATAAAGTATTCTAAATATAAGTTATAAATTCTGTATAAGATACTGTTTATCTTTCAAGTTGTAACATTTTCAAACTAATATTTTCAAGCAATCCCATATTTTCAATTTCTAAGAATTTTGGATACATGTTACTTAAATTTTGAAATGTTTCTCGTTCCATATTTTTTAGTGTAAAAGATGTTTGATTTTGTAAATAATCACTTTAATTAACAATTTTAAGTCCATTCATTAATAAAGTCCAAGATAGAGCATAACTTTAAAAAAAGTATCTATTAAATAAAAGGGGTGCATTTAAAGAAGAGCTGCTATTAATTTATTCAGAGAGTTAGTATCGAATTAGTAGTATATTATATGTAATTATTGAAATCAAAATCAATATTGATATCATTGTAAAAAAAAGAATTATTTTCAGATTATTATTCATCTTTGTTTAAAATTAAAAAGCATTGAAAATAATAAGATTTTGTATTTTTAAAGTATTTGACGATTAGCTAGATAAGGATTAATTCTCTTATTTTTATAGACATCCAAGTTCATTTTCATAAGATAATAACTTTAGAAAATTATTACGTTATTTTAAATGTTTTTCACTGCCAGATTTAGAAATCTCATTTAAATGAGATGCATGATTCTATTGGATATCATTATTATATTTTTAAAACTCTTTTTATTATGTAGATTCAACTTGATCTTAAAATAAGAACTATTTCTAAATTTATTACTTTTCTATTTATTCTATATTTTTAAGATTAATACTATGTAATTATTTAATAGCATTATTTTAACCACTTTTTTTTCTAAAATCCATTATCTCAATAATAAAATATGATCTTTATAATTGTTTTTTTCCAATAGTTCTATACTACAATTATATTTTTGTATGATATTCAACAGATTTGAATTACTAAAAATATCTATATAATATACATTATATTATTGCATAAATTCTAATACTTAGTTAATAAATTTAGGACATAATAATTAAATTTCATCTGATAATTTGACACTAGTATTTATATAATATCTCCCTGTTTATAAATTATATTTTTTTTATTTTTATGTTGTATTAAGTTTAGGTTTAGATTAAATTGGAGTTTTTGATACATTTTTTTTTAATGAATATGCAATTGAACTTGATGTAGGCATCTTATTTTCATAAAGAAATTCAATTATTTTTGATAAATTTTCGTAAATTGTAATAGTTGTCATAAGTTCAACCTAAAGAAATTCAGATTAATTAATATTATCTATTTAAGATTCCAAAATAGAAAATATATTTGTAAAAAATAAAAAGATATAAGCTTAATTAATTGTTTAAGCACTTAATTCTTCTTGAAAGGATTATTTTATTATATCAGTATAAAATCCTTAAGTTACTGATAGAATCCTGCCATTTTCATCAAATAATATAAACTCTGATGTTTCTTTTACTTTTGATAAGCATGCAGTCAATATATAATCATCAAAAAAACAGAAATTATTTTCTAATTTTAATTATTATGGTTAAACAAAATCATTTTTTAATTTACTAAATACTATTTAATATTAATTAAATAATGAAGATTATGCTGTTTCTAAATAAGATTATAATAATTATGTATGAGTTTCAAGTAAATATTGAGGAATGAATAAATTAATATGATTATTATTTTCCAATTCTTTTATATCTAATCCAAAATAATTAGCAATCTAATTTTTTTGAGTATTTTTAATAAATCCTCTATTTTTAACCATGCTTACCATAATCAAACATATATTATCATGAAGAATATCAATATTACTAATTACATCATTTGGTAATGAATTCTCCATTATTAAAATATCAGATATTTATTATTCACATTTAAGAGAACCATAAAAATCATTAAAAATCATTAATAAAAATATTGATGTGATTCTTAATTCTATAACATTTCTAACTTTTTAAATTTAATTTAAATTCATTAAATCTATATGCAATTAATGTTACAATGAATTTTAACAAATTAAAAGTTTCTTTGAATAATTAACAATTAATTTTTCTAAATCCTATATGGTATCTAATCCATTAATCTATTCATTCCAAATTTATATTTTTTAATCTATAAGTTATATTATCTAAGGTAATATTTATTCTTCTATTGAATATGCTTAGATAAAGTTTTTTACATCAAGATAGTTTTTTTCATAATCATGATTATTACTTTCAAGAAGATTATTACCATTTAAAATAATATCTTCTAATTCTTCAAATAGATATTTAATTGTTGCTTTTAAATGATATGATATCTTTTGATGTTTTAAGACAAACCCTTTAAGTGCAACATATGCAGGTAAAGGTTATTTTTTAATTTTATTTAAAAAATCAACATAATAAATTTCTAGCATTTCATAATCTGAACCAAAATTAATATGTAATAATTTTAATGCATGCTAAAGCACACAATTAAGAACATTGAACTTTATTGATTTAGCTGTAATTTTTTAATGTTGAAGTACTTTTTTTAAACAATTTATACATGTTTTTTAATGATATTGGATAAATAATATATAAAAAAATAAATTTTCTTAACTTTTTCTCTTTTAATTTAATTCTATTAATGTATAAAATAACCATTCAACAAATTATATTTAATAGTGTGATTCACTATATCCTTATAATTGATAAACAATTTTTCTATTTTAATAAAAAATACAAATAAAAATAACTAATGTTGCTACTATTAATTAAATTACTATTAATTATTCTTCAGGTATTAATTTATTTTTAGAAATCACATTTATTGATATTATCAATAATAATCCTATACAACCTGAAATTAAAATTAATGCAAATTTTTGTATTTAAGGATGATAAATATCAAAATGTAATGCTTCTAAAAGTAATGTCAAAAAAAATATATTCATTAATATTAATTAAAGTGCATTTATAAGTGGAATTCTACTCTAAAAATGTAAAAAAATAATTGCTATTGCCAACATCTCTCTCAAGAAACATAATTGACTAAATTTTTATACTAAACCATTATCTTTTAATAATCTCATTTTCCTTATAAAATATATGCTAAAGAAACAATTATAAATTAAAACTAGTATGGATAATATACTAATTGGCAAAAATGCATGGAATTAAAAATTTGAATATAATAATGCTCTTTAACTAAAAGACAAAGATCCTATTAATACAAACAATTAAGGTATAAAAAATAATTTTGGGACTAATACTAAATACCAATATGTAATCCCTAGTATAAATGAAAGTTTATTCTTAAATTTTACAATCCAAAATATTGCTGAAAACATAAATAAGTTTAATAAAGAGAATAGTACAATCAATACATAGATTAAGGCTGATGATTTTACTTCAATCACAAAAGGAAAAATCAAAATTACATTTAATAAATTTTTCATCATTCTTAAAGCACCATCCTAATAATTCCATAAATTCCATCCATCTATTGGATAAGCTAATGTTAATATTTGACAATAATATATTAGCAATACTAATTTTTATATCTTTAAGTTCAAAGTAAAGGTTGGCTAATACATTGAGACAAAACAAAATCCTTGTAGCATTTATTAAATAAATGCAATGATATATAATTAGAAAAATTGAATTAAAATTCGGATTTTTTATTATATGAAATTTATATTGGTTAAATGAAACATTCATTTAATTAATTAGATTTTTAATATTCTGAAAATCTTTATAATTGATTTCTTATATCTGTTATCATAAATCCAGTTTAAGCAAATCATAAAAATGACATATATTTTAATAAGATCATCATCCAGAGATTAAGATCAAGTGAAAATGTTCTCTATTAAGTATTTATGGATTATGATATTAATTAATTACAGAATTATTTTATTCGATTGAAATTAAATACATAAAAATATAAGAATTCTTTTTTAATAATTATTTAAAGAAATAGTTTTTAAAATTTTGAATAAATGATAAATTGATAAATGAAATCTAATTTAATTTTCATATACATAGTTCTTCTATTGCCCTATATCCTTGTTGTATTATCCATAACTCATGAGGAACTAAATCAAAGAAGCATTCTCTGGCTTCATGGCTTAAATATAGATATGTAATACTTTAAGACAACTCTTTGTGATTTCTCTTGTAGTAATTTGTAACTTACCCAAAGTGCTAAAATAGATCAAATATTACTTTAAGGATCATGAGTTGTTTTTTACTTCTTTTTAAGTAAATTAATTTATTCAGTTAATAAATTAAAAGTGAATTTAACTTTTGGAAATTTTTCAGCCTTTAAATATCTATATTTAATATAATTTTTTTGATCTTCCCATTCTTATAATAGAGTTTCGAATCCTTTGCTATATTAATTAATTTATTCTTTAGAAAACAAATTAAGTTCTATGGCCATTTCTGCAAATCTTGGGAGTGTTATCATTTTATTCTTGGATAATTCTTCTATATAATCAGCATAACTAATGAATTATTCTAATGCAACATTTTTGTCATATATGTTATTATGTATTGCTTTATATAAATTTTTAAACTATTATTATAAAATTATAATACTTCTGAGAATTCAATAAGATTATTTCCATCCAAATCTGCAGCCTAAAATATCAATTTCAAACTATCTTCACATTATCTTTTTTTTTAAAAATATAGATTCATAACTTAGATCATAACATTTTCAAATACAATTTCTGATAATTTATATAATAAAATTACATTTATTATTATTTTATTTTAATTACTGTAAAAGTTAAGAGATATAAGTTTAACCAAGTAGTTGCTAAAGAAAATCATTACAATATTCAATTAGTTATTCATATGTTAAATTGATTTCTGGTTTATTTAATTGTATTTCTCTAAATAAATTAGATACTTACTTATTATGAAAATATTTAATTGATTCTACAATTAATTTATATACAGCTTCATCCATTTCATCATCCATATAACATAATCTTGAGATCAAACATAATTTTGGATATTAATTTTTCTTATGAAAGATAAATTAAAGTAGCTAAAATTCAAATAATTAAATATACTTATTTAATTTTTTTTTCAGCTACATTTTTAAAACCATACTTTTTTAAGAAAAAGTCATAAATACTTATATGTAATGGAATTTTATATCCTTCTTAATTTTTTGCAGTATCAGCTAAAATAGTATTAAAAATTTTGATAATTGATGAAATAGGTATTATTGAATCTTTTTATTTTTTTAGTTTAACATTCATAACTTCATGTAATAATGAATTTGCAGCATCTGTATTTTGACTATAAATTCTTTTGACTCTTTTTTCTTTTTTTAAATCAGATAATAAAGATAATTTAATAGCAACTGGTTTTGTAAATCTTCTTTTTTAAATATTGACTCCACCATATTATTATACTAAATTTCTTATTTTTTCAATTTTTTTAATATCTTCTTCTTTTGCTTTATCTGATAAATCATCACTAGAAACTAAAGATAAATTTTCACTTTCATTAACATCACTTGATTAATCAAGTGTATTTATAGTATTTATAGACTTTTAGTGTTAATGTTTGACAACTTTTGATTATTTTCTTTTTAATTATTATTATTTTGGTTCATCATCTAAATCCTTAATAGCTGATAAACTTTTAATTTATAAAGATTTTCTATTTGATTAACTTTTAATGGGTGATAAATTCTTTTATTTTTGATTTAATTATTCCAAATCTTCTATACTTTATTTACTTTAACTACTTTTACTATTCTTTCTACTAATACTAGTATTTAAATTATTTTTATTTTGAGAATTCTTCATATTAATATCTTTTGATAGATTTGATTCACTATTTTTTATATCAACACTTTAATTATTATTTTCTTAATTCTAATTTTCTTATATATCTTATTTAATTAGATTAACTTCTTCAGCTAAATTATCTTAAAATTATTGAAAATCTTCATCAACAATATTTTAATTATTTGATTAATCTAGATCAAAATATTGTTAATTTTGATTATTATTATTATTATTATTATTTGATTAAATATTTTACATCATTGAATCTTCTTCACTTTTTTCATCACTTTCAATAATATCCTCTTATAAAACATCCTATTAATTGAAGGCTAAAGAATTTCTAAATGAAGGAGTTTTTACTCCTGGTGAACTAACAAGCACTTATGGAATTTCTTATTTAGGAGGACTACTTTCACTTTACACTTTTAAAATATATATAAGATAATATTTACAAGAATTAAGACGATTTTATAATTGTGTTTAACTCTTTTTTAGTTTTTTTATTTTTTATTTCTTTCTTTTAAGTAGTTCTATAAATTCTTATGTTGCTTCTTATAAAGTATGTTCATAATATTTTGCATTTACTTTTTGTTCTTGTAATTCTAACATTTATTCAATAAATTTCTTTTTTATTTCTACTTCTGAATCTGTCTAATTATTATTGCAGAATTATAATATTTGTATTAATTATTCTTTATAATTCTGATTAATCTCATTTTTTGAGATCTAACTAAAATTTCATAACAATGATTACATATTAGGACATTTATCAGTCCATCTTTGATTGAATAAATCTTCAATATGATCAAATAAAAATGAAAAAGTAGAATCTGTTTGAACATCCTCTAAGATAATTAAATATATTATACTATCTTCTGTGTTAATAGGGATTAATGCTCTTGATTACAATTTCAACATATTTTAGTATTAAAATGTTGAATTCAATTAATCAATATCAGTTTTGGATAAGCCTTATTTAAAATATTCTTCATCTTCTCTTAATTATTCAACTTTCTCAAATTAAATTGAAGTTTTCTTTTATAATTTAGAAAACATTGTATTTTTCATAGATAACAAATGTGCTACAACAGATTAACCTTCTTATATTCCAATTTTAATTTTTTATGTAGTTTGTGTTTATTAAGTAGAATGAGTTTCTATTTATAATTTTGTTTAAATTAATTCATTATAAACTTTATTATGATTATCAGTCATTTCATCTAATTAAGAACCTAATAATTTTATCTCATTAGTTAATTAAAGATTTTTTTTAGCTAAATATATATTTTTATCATTTAATTCTGATTTTTCTAATTCTAATTATTCTATTTATTATTTTAATTGATGAATTTCTTATTATAATTATTAGACAAATGTTTAATGAGTCTTTTAAATTCTATGAACTGTATCTATTGATTAGGTTTCCATTTCATCAAAATTAATTGCAACATTTTAAATAAGCATTTCAATAAAAGAGACAAATGAATTCCAAATAATTAATAATAATGTTCCTCTTTCTTTACATTCATATGATATTTATCTAGCTAATTCATGTATACAAGTTTAATAAACTTATTATAATTAATTTGTTAAATCAGATATTAATCGCAAATTATCAGTCTTTAAAGTTTGAATCATCTTATCAAACCATAATAATAGATCAATAGCTTACTATCTATTAGGGGGACATTTTGTATCAAAGATAGTTTTACATTCTTATTGTAAAATAGATTGAAGGTAATATTTAAATTAATGTATCTTGATATTTTGGAGTAAAGGTGAAAAATCAATTGTTTTATCATCTATTTTTAATTCTGCAGGATTATCAATAAAGGTTCCTTTTACATTTTCTTTAATAATAGATGTATAAATATTTGTTCTATTAGCTTAACTATGCTAAATATATAACCGATAATTTTACGAATTCGTATAATTATGGATCTCTAGCAATATTGCTTAATGGTATTTTTGGAGAAGAGACAGATGACTGTTTTGTAGTTACATTTCGAAAATTGAGATAGGAGACATCAGAGTATGTTTTTAATCTATCAGTTTGAGATAATTATATGTTTGATCTGCTCTAAGTTGTTGTTCGAAATGTTGAAATTTCTTATAGAGAATCTTTGATTGTTAAATTCATAGTAATTGATTTGGCTTTTGCTTTTGTTTAAGGTCTCTTAGGTGATTATAAATGGGGAAGTTTTTAGGTATTCATAATTAGGTATAATTTTTATTAAATTACTGAAATCTATTTAGAACAAATTTTTTATATATACAAGTATTATTTTAATATTATTAACTTCACCAAATATTTATACAATTATAATATTTGTATGATGGAAAATGATATTCAAAAATGTTGTAACAATAAATACAATTATTAAATTTAGGTAATTAATTTGAATATATATTTATATAATCTATTTTGATTTATTTACTTTTTCATTTCTATTCTTTATTTCATTCATCTTAAATAATTAACCACACATATAATCTAACTAAATATGAATAATTTAAATTATATTTATAAGTTAGAAATTAAAATTAAAATATAAATGAAATGTAAATATTATATCCAATAATTTATTTTAACACTTCAATTTATATTTATTAGTTATATTATAAATAAATCTTATATTAGAAATAAATATTAAACACATAATATTGATAATATCATCCTTCTTTTATTATAGAAAATTAGAAAAAATTAAAATCTATTGATCTATTTTGACATTATATTATTTTCATTTAACAATATTAGACAAATTAAATCATGTATTTTTCATAATTTAAGAGTGATATAATATTATATAGAATTGTTAAGGATTCAAAAAGAAACTTAAATTTTAATAATAAAAGATTACTTGAATATCTATTTATAAATATATGTTAAAAATAAAAGCAATATTTTAAATAAATAAAATATGGGTAAAGGGAAAAAATAATCAAGGTCAAGGACTCCAAAAAAGAAGAATAGATCTAAATCAAAGGAAAAATAAAGATCTAGATCTAAAGAGAGAAAATAATCAAAATCGAAAGAAAGAGACAGGAAGAAGGTAGAGACAGGATTAGGAAGATCTACAGGTTGGGGTGTAGCTTCTTAACCAAAGACTGGAAATACAGATGATTTTTTGAGAGATATGTACAATAATCCAAAAACTTCTGCAACACCACAAAGTAGAAGACATTAAAATTTTTAGCTGCTCAAGCATTGATTGTTCCATAGTCTCATACAATGTAAACATAGATGCAATATACATTTGTAATGATAATTAGTTATTCAAGGTACCTGGTATGAATCCGACAATATTAAAAATGCTTAATGACCCAACAAAAGTAAGAAGAAAAATTAAGATTCCTCCTGATTTGTCATTCAATTATATTGGTCTAATTATTGGACCCAAGGGAGTGAGTCAAAAAAAATTGGAAGAAGAAACAGGAGCTAAAATATTGGTTAGAGGAAGAGGATCATAAAAACCAGAATAACCACCTCAACCTGATGATGATGAAGATTTACATGTTTTAGTGGTTGCAGAAACACCATAATAAGCAGCAAATGCATGTGATAGAATAGAAAGAATATTATTAGCTGATGCTGATGAATGTAATTATGATATTTATTTAATAGTATAACGATATAGATAAGAATAAATGAAATTAATTGCATAATCTTAATAGACTCCAACAACAGCTCAACCAATAGCATCAACTGGTAGTGTAGATCCAAGTGATTTATCTATGACTACTCCATATGGACCACCTAGCAAAGATGCTTATGTTTATCCAGTTCCAAATGAATTTGTTGGATTAGTAATTGGTGTAAAAGGAGAAACTATTTAATAATTAAAAGAGAAATCTGGATGTAAAAATGTATAAGTTGCTGCTGATTCTGCTCCTGGTTCTTAAACAAGAAATGTATTTATTGTTGGAGATCCTGATTGTGTTAAAAAATGTCAGGGTTTGTTATAAGAAATTATTGATACATAAAGAAAAGTTAGAACAGCTCCTGGTGCTAAAAAAATAGAATTCCAAGTACATGATTAATTTGTAGCACTAATCATTGGAAAAAAAGGAGTGACTATTAAAGCTATCAGTGAAAGAAGTGGTGCTTTTGTTGCTATAACTTAAAGTCCTGATTATTAAGTCAGACCAGATCATAAAGCATTTGTTTTAAGTGGAACTGAGGAATAATTAAATATTGCAATTAGAGAAATTGAAACATTATTAGAAGGAGCTAAAAAGTAATATATTTGTGATAATAAATAGAGCTTACTTTGCTAAAACTTGTGTAGATCCCAGTACGATCAATATACCAACGTAAACTAAAATATTTAATATAGTCCCTTGTTGATTAATCCTCCGAATGCTTTAGCTAATTATTAAATAACCAATAATGAAATGGCTCCATAGTAAACTATGCCAGAGTTTAGAACTCCAGAAGAATAAGGTAAATTTAACTCTTATACTAATTCTCTTTTCTTTATTTATAGTGGCTTATTAAAGATAACTGTAAATGTAAACTATGTAAATGCAATACTACATGATGATACCAGCATAACAGGCAGTTGTAGAAGAAAGAGTTATTACAAGAGATAATCGATAAAGATGATTATGAGACAAACCAAAAAAAATATTATCATTTAAAAATATATGTACGTGTATTTATTCATTCTTCTAACTATCGTTGTTGCTGAGGACTATTACAAATTATTAGAAGTATCACCAGAAGCAAGTGACAATGATATCAAGAAGGCCTTTAGAAAATTGTCTGTAACATATCATCCTGACAAAAATCCAGGAGACAAGCAAGCTACAAAACGATTCCAAGATATCAATAAAGCTTATGAAATTCTTACAGATCCTGAAAAAAGAATGATTTATGACTTGTAAGATCTTTTCATAATATTTCTAGCTATGGAGAAGAAGGTCTTACAAATCCATAATATTATAATAGACAAAAAGGTCCTAATGCTTAAGCAGAAATTCATGTTACTCTAGAAGAATTGTATAATGGCACAGATAGAGAATTTACTTTACAAAAGAAAGTTTTATGCAAATAGTGTAAAGGAACTGGATCAAAAGATGGAACATTAAAAATCTGCAAACATTGTAATGGTAGAGGTTAAAGAATGCAAAATGTAAATATGGGTATAGGTTTCACTGTCTAAATGCAAACTACATGTGATAGATGTGGAGGAAGAGGTAAAATTAGTTCAGGAAATTGTTCTAATTGTAGAGGAAATAGAGTCTAATAAACATCAAAGACATTGCAAATAGAAGTTGAAAGAGGCATGACTGATGGATAAACTATTGTTTTTAGAGGAGAAAGTGAATAGAGTCCTGATTATTTCCCAGGAGATGTCATTTTTTATTTAAGATAAATGAAACACCCTCTATTTGAAAGAAAAGGTAATGATTTATACATGGATATGGAAATTACTTTAAAAGAAGCTATATTAGGATTTAAGAAGAGAGTTAAGCATTTAGATAATCATTATGTAGAAGTTGAAAGCAATAAAATTATTTAACCATTTGAAGTATATTATTATAATTATTAAATTCTATTAGGTAAAGTAAATTGCTCAAGAGGGTATGCCAATACATTAACTTCCAAGTGTTAAAGGTGATTTGTATATAAAATTTATTGTAAAAATGCCTACAAAATTAAATGAACAAGAGAAAGAATTCATAAAAAAAATATTTGCTTGAAAAAATTATATTATTTTATTACAAATTTTTTATTTAAGAAGATAAATTTTGAATAAAAAATCATTTATTAATTAATTTCAATTCTTTAATTTATATTTTGATTGATTTATATCTTATTTAAAAATTAATCTAACATCATTTAATAAAAAATTTTATGATTGATTTTTTTAATCATAAATTTATTCTTATATCAATATTAGAAAATGAACATTATTTAATACAAATAAAGATGTAGTAAAATTATTTAAATATATATAATAATGATAAAATTTAATTTTGAATTTGTAAGTAATTTATGTGTTTCATTAACAAAAAGATTAAGATCCCTTATTTTTAATTTTTGATTTATCATGATTATTTTCATGTTCACTTTTTATTCTTGTTTATCTATTTTCTAAATCTTAAATCCAAAATTCCACTTTATCCTTAACATGTTTTTACTTTTAAGTAAATTTGGAAGCCATTTATTTTCTTTCGTTTTCCATTTGAAATAACCTCTCTTTAACTGAAGGAAGCATAATTGCAATTAATGGAGATCTGGCATTAATAGCTGCACATCTAGTTGATTTTATAAAGAAAGGTTTAAGATTTGATTTTTCAACCATCATTTCTCTGTCTATGCTCTATGATATTAAATTATATTACTTTAGGCATACCTCTTCTTGTTAGAATTCTTTATATTAATTCATTTTTTGATAAATCATCATCTGGATTAAAATCATGTTTAATAACTTTATAATCTCTAGCACCATAATGTTTTTATTCTATTTTTTCATTTATATGTTTTCTTTTTAACAAATTGAATGGATTTGTTCTAAAAATCCTATTGATTTCTTCTTCAATATATTTATAATCACTTTTGTCAAAGACTTCTTTTAATACCTAATTAATTTTTTGATTTTTTTACTTATGTAATAAAATAAATTAAGGTTTCAAAGAATTTTTAATCTTTGATTATGATATTATAAGTGCCTTTTTTTAATAAAATCTTAGAATATATTTCAGATATCTCCTTTAATTTTAAATTAATTTTATCTGTTTCAGATGATAATAATTTAGGAGCTATTCCTATTCTTTCTTTACTTTATTAATCTAAAATAGCTTATTTTTTTTCTAATTTATGAAGTTCTACACAATAATCATAAATTGTAAGTAATAAATCCATAAATAATCTTTCAGTGATGAATTTACTAAAATCCTTAGGTAAAAGTAAATTAGGATTATCTGCTTTAGTGCGTTACATAAGTTCATATTTATCTTCAATAATTTTTCTAAACAAATCATCAATTTCATATTTCGAATGAAACTACCCAAGCATATAAATAATAATAATAATAATAATAATATAATTATTTGAATAATAAAAGTAATGATGAAAATTCATCATTTAATATTACAATTAATAAGACATTTAAACTTCTAAATTTGATAAATAAATAAAGAAAAAATTAATTTAAAAATAACTAAGATAAAATTTATTTTCTTTATTCATAAATAAATTTATGTAATTACCACCATAACCAGCAGGAGTAATGACTTATTACTCTGATCAATATGAACCTTAATGTCCATTATGTCAATCAGGAGAACATACTTCATAAACAGAATCAAATTTCGTTTAGTCATCACATGCTATGGCTGGATAATAAATAAGAGGGAGAGGTATTAAATCTAAAAATAATTAGTTGTATATACTTCTCCTGAGAGAATAGTATCTCGAAAGGTTGTAGAAGGTGTTGCTTTATCACCAATGCAATTAAGATAACAATAAGCAATAACTCCTCCTAGAATGATGCCAATAACATCTTAAATGATTAATACCCCCCCTATTATTTAATAGAAGTCACCAATAGTGGTTTAATAATCTCCAGTGATTGTATAATAAGCTCCTATTCAACTATAACCATCTCCCATAGCTATCAATAATTCTTCTAATGTTATTTAATAGGCTATCTATTAACCACAAATCCCAATCATTTAATAGTAATATTAAGTGCAACCTTAAATTTAATAAGCTTAAATAAATCAAACAAACATTAATACTTAATTCAATTAATAACTTTAACAATCTCAGTTAATATAACAAGAATTGTTATTGAAATAAAAAGAATGGGCTGATAAATATTATAGATAATCTGAGGAAATTTAACAAAATAATTTAGCCTTTTCTTAATTATAAACTTAATATTAAGAGTAATTAGAATAATATGAAGCTTTGAAATAAGCTTATTAATTAACAACTTAATATTAAGCTCAAAATTTTATTCCATCATTTTTATAAACTGTTTAGTATAAAGTAATAACTAAAGATGGCAAATCTTAATATAATTAAGAGGAAATTGAATTATATTGGAGACATCAAGTTTTTAAATTAGAGGAACAAATGTATTAATTATGGGAAAAGATTAATTAGAAAAAATTGAAAAAAGACTTACCAATAAAATCAGAAGACACTTAAAAAGTAATAATTTATTTATTAATATATAGATTGAATAATTACAATAAGAAGTTGGACATTTAGAACACATTTAAAGAATGAAAATGAATTCTGTAGTAATTCTTAGAAATAAATTAAATGATCTTATGTATTAACATGATCCAGCCACAGAAGCTACACGAGAATATGATTTATAATTACAATAACTCAGATAAAAAGTGATGCAATTAAGTTCGAGATTAACTGAAGTATAGGATGAAATTTAAATGACAGAAACTTAAACTGAAGCAATCAAGAGTGGAAAAGGATTTAAATTTGTATCAGTTAAATAAACTACTAGCTAAGTTAGATAAGTAACAAATTCTGTAAGAACTAATTAAGCTTAAGATTATTAAGTTTCTTGATTATACATTATATTTAATATATTATCTGTTTTTAATTCAAAGAAAAAAAGTTTCTATATTAATTATATATATTTAATGAAAAATGAATTATAAACAACTCCAGAAATTAATGAAAGATTAGAAGAATTGATTCGTAGTACACATCCTCCAAAAATCTAAAATGTTGTATCCACAGTAGATCTAGGAACAGAATTAAATTTAGTAGTAATATCAAATGGAGCAAGAATGGCTGAATATAGTATTCTTTTTTTGTATTCTAGATCCTAAGAGATTTTCAGCTGTTATTATGAGATTAAGTAATCCTAGTACAACTGCTCTAATATTTTAATCTGGAAAAATGGTTTGTACAGGAGCTAAATCAGAAGATTAATCTTTAATTGCAGCTAGAAAATATGCAAAGATTATTAACAAATTAGGTTTTCCTGTTGTGTTCAAAAACTTTACAATATAGAATATTGTTGCAAGTTTTGATTTCAGAAAGCCAATCAAATTAGATGAATTTACTAAAGATTAATAATATCGATCAGTCGTCTAATATGAACCAGAAATATTTCCTGGATTGATATTTAGAAAAATTACAGACTAAAAGAAAATAACTTTGCTTATATTTGTAAGTGGTAGATGTGTAATCACAGGAGGAAAAAAAACAGAAGACTTAAATAATGTTTTTAAGTATATATTGCCAATTTTGGATTAATTTAAAAAGAGAGATCTAGAATATTGAATTATATTATTTATTTTTATTGGTTAAATCGTATTTCAATTAAGTAGATTATGAATAATATAATTCACACATATAAAAATAAGACCTAAAGAGATAAAAGAGTTTATACATTTTAAATATTTATTTTTTTTAGTTAAATACTTACATTTCTATTCATAATGTCGTCAGAAATTTAAATTGTGAATTACAAAGTTAATTATTATTATTAGTATTCTTAATTTTATAACACACTTTTATCATATTTCCTGAAATTATCTATTTAGAAATAGAAATTTAATTGATCTAACTTTTCTTTTATTTACTTTAATTGATTTTTTATTAAAGTTTATAGATTTTGAGGTTGAATAGAAATATTCATAGATCTATTATTTTTTCGTTTAATTTAATTTATTAATCATAAAATATAGTTTAAATTTAATCAGAGTGAAAAATAAATTTTAGTTTTAATCAAATGTCCAAAGAATAAATTATGTATATTTTATTTAAAAAAATAACTTTCATTTTTTTAAATACATAATATTTAAAGCTCCAAAAATATGATAAAATCATGAATAATTCTATTTGTAATTAACTTTAGTGCCATTTTAAAGAATTTATATAGATAAAGGATAATTATTAGATGATATAATTATTAAAATTAATTAATTATATGTAAGTTTTTCATTGTGTTTTATTATTTCTATATTGATTTATTTGAAATCAATTAAATTTTAATATAAAAATGAAAAAACATGATCACGGCCAGTCTCGAACTGGCGGCCTCGTCCTTGTTAGGGACGCGTGATAACCCCTACACCACGCGATCAATGGATAACGAATTTGATTGTTAGTACTTATTAAAAGGGATCATATTTTTCTTTTTAATAAATTGTGATAATCTATATCAAGTTAATAAGCTCATGTTTCTATTAAAAATAATAAGAGGAAATCTAAGAATTAGGATTTATTTTGAAGATGAAATCCTATTATTATTGTCATTTTGAGCCACAAAATTTTACATTAATATTTACGAGATCATTTTGGATTAAATTAGTTTATAAATAAATGGAGTTTCTTGGGTATTTAAATGGTACATAAGAGTTATTAGATAAAATTAAGTTAATAGTAAGAAGTTTGAAGTATGATATAATTTAGACAAATACAAAATTTTATTAGAATTAAGTAAGATTAAATAGGAGATTGTAAAATAAGGAATAGTTTGAATGGATAAAAAAATAGATATATTAATTGAAAACCTATATAAATAAATCATTTTAAGTAAATATTATAATAAAAAAATTATATTAATTGATAAATATTAAGAAGAGGGTGTTTGAAAAAGACAGGGAATTATTTAATCTTTATTATAATAGACAATTTATAATGAAGGATATATGATTTCAGTCAAGCAGTGTAATTCTTGGATAAATTTGGAAGAACATAAATGTTAGGCAGAAATTTTAACCTAAAGATAGCTTTCCTGGAATTTAATTAATAAGAGGTTAATTTAATTGAAGATGAATATGATTTGAATATATTAATTCTCATTTGTATTGTAATCGATCTTAAATTAGTAAATAAGAAACAGGAATGTTTTGGAATAAATATGGAAATCGGAGATTGTCAGTAAATTATTTGATTATAAAATTAAATATAATTTGTGAAATCTATTTAGAACAGTGGATATAAGGTAATCTGTTAGGCTTATTTATAATTGTTGATAAATTTGAAATTGTTTATCACAGCTAACTTAAAAAAGTGTATTTTTTAAATTTTTGTATTGATATTTCATATTTATATCAATATAAATAAAAATTAGATCGAAAGTTGATGAAAAGATTGAAAGGGTGGTGATGTCATAATATATCAGTGATATCATATAACCTAATATCATTTTATTTTTATTAATAAATCCTCTGATTATTATTTTTTAATGAATAAAGAGTGCAACAATAACTTTATTTCATTGTTTGATGAGCCCAACAAACCGTTATGGTAAAAATCTAAACCTGATTTTAAAATATATCAAGTCTCAAGTGTATTAACAATAAAAAAAACAAATTCTTAATCAATAAAAAAAGGAAAGTTTTTCATCTCTAATGAATATTTAGTAGAGGTTGACACTACATACAAAAGACATATTGATCTCAATAATATTATTTTAGAATAAACGAACTAACCATATACTTTTAGATTAAGCAGAAATAAAAAATAAATTGAATTTACTACTAATGAATAAGAATACTAATTATGGTTTCAATTGATCAAGAAATATGCTATTTAAAGATCTTTTAATGAAGATTATAAATTATTAAAAATCTAGGGTTAAGGAAATTTTGCTAAAGTAATCGATTTTTTTTTCAATTCTTAGGTCTACAAGGCAATCGGTAGAGATAATTTTGCATATGCTGTGAAGTCATTTGAGAAGAAAAGCTTCAAAAATCTAACTCTTGAGAGAGTAATATTTTTAGTTTCTAATTATATTAGGATGCTTTAAAATTAGAGATCAGCATTATGAGAAAAATATAATTCCCAGGGATCATCAGATTATATGAAGTTTATGAAACTGAACATCATATTTGGTTAGTAACAGATTATTTAGAAGGAGGAGAATTATTTCAGTATCTTCGAAATTAACCCTAGGGGTTTAATGAAATTCAAGTAGCATTGTTAATGCATAACCTACTTAACTCATTAGATTATTTACATTCTTAAGGCATAATTCATAGAGACATAAAAGTATAATATTATAATATAAAAAATAAGCCAGAAAATTTAATCCTTCGTTCTCCACTTAATGCATCTGAAGTATATATTGCAGATTTTGGATTGGCTGATTATTACAATCCAGAAGGCAAATATTTATTTAAAAGATGTGGAACTCCAGGATATGTAGCGCCAGAAATATTATAAGAGAAAAATTATGATTACAAAGTCGATGTGTTCAGTGCAGGAATTTTAATGTTTATAATGTAAGTGAAGATTTACAAATATAAGGTTGAGTGGACAATCTCCATTTCAAACTAAATCAAAAAATGAACTTGTTATCAAAAATTATAATTGTGAAATAGATTACACAATCAATAATTTATAATAAAAGATTAGTCCTGAAGGTAAAATTTAAATTAACTTTAGCTTTATAGCTTTTAATGATTATGTTATCTCCAAATCCACAATCTAGATATACTGCCAAATAAGCACTTTGTCATCCTTGGTTTATAAAGTGCTTCACTCCTGTATACTAAATGAATCCTCCTTAATTATATATGCCTACAAATATGATTCCATAATTTTAACATTACTCTGACATATTTGCTAGAAGTCCAATTATGAATTAATTGTTAAATCAATCTATTTCAAATCTTTCTTTATCAGGATCATCAAGTATTATTATTATAAACTTAAATTAGATGTAACACCTTAAAGAACTTAATCAAATTCATTACAAGTATAGAATCCATGTAAAATTGCAATTGAAGAAGATCATTAAGATTTCGAAGTTATTTAGGAAGAAATTTGTTAGATTCATGAAATCAATAAATATTCAATCAATAATCAACGAAAACAAACGCCAGCTTAATAAAATAAATTCACTTAATGATATTAATAAATCTTTATTTATTTTATTGGTGTTATTAAAAATTAATGAACAGCTTTATCAAAATATATATCATTTTTTTTGATTCTCTGTTCCCAAAATTACAGATGCCTATTTCTATAAAACAGAAGATGTTCCTTGATTTGGCTTCTATTATGAATATATAATTTCTTATTCCACTTCTTATAATTCCTACTCTGTTACTTTATAATCTGTAGTAAAGATATCCAAAAATTCCATAAATTCACAATAATTATATTTTCTACTATATACTTCTGCAAGTTTCTTAGTATTAACCTTATTTTTATATAAAGCAATAAATGGAACACCTCTACGTAATTAATCAAGTGAAATAAATAGAGTAGGATAATTAACATCTTTAATTCTTTAAGGAGTATCTGAATCCATCAAAGCTTTAAAAAGTGATAAATAATGATAAACATCCTATCTTGATAAATTCTTTTCTAAAACTATTTTCTCAACATTAATTAATTATAGAATTTCCTTAAATTTTTAATTGTCTTTTGCACTAAAAGATTAAAAAGGATCTTCAACTGATGTAATCTATTTAGATTTCTTTTTAAAAATATGTGTATTTTAAGGTAAAATATGATCATAAGCATCCTCTTATATTTCTTCAATTGATTTTTCATCCTCATATAATAATCTTCTCTCAAAATGTTCTTCTTCTTCTGGTCTAAGAAAATGTTTCTATAATTAATATTATAAATTACTGTTTTCAATCTGACTTAAATAGACTATCTCCTCATTGCTTTTATTTTTTTTAATCTTAATCTCATATTCTCTTCTAAATTCTTTAATTTTTTTGAATATTTTGATTTATTTGAATGAATATATTATTACAATAATTTTAAATAAGTATCTTATTCCTTTTCATTCATTTAAATAATTGATTATTCAAACATCTCATCATCAGGTTCTCTAATATTATTTTCTATTTCAATATAATATTAAGAAGGAATAGAAGTTTAACTTCCCATCTAAACTTATCGAAAATAAAATGGTAATAAATTTTCTCTTTTACAAAAAAATCTGCTAACTTCATCTTTACTTCTAAGATCTAATAACTTAGTTGCTAATTTTGGATATTTATCAACTTAAAATTCACCTGAAAGATTTAATTTTTATTTCATAATACTCCAAAAATCAAATTAACCCTACTTTATATATTTAAATCATTACTTATAATTGGATATATAAAAACTTTTCATATAGTGGAAGTTAATTTAAAGCTGAAATTTCAATACTATCTAATGTAAATGTCTTTGCTTAGGGAATGTAACTTCTATAGTGTAAAATATCAAGAAAATATGAAAACCATTCTTTATAATTTTCTGAAATTTCTTTTTCATTAATAATTTTCTCATAAACTGGTACGAAATAAGGAAATACACTTAATTCAACTTCATTTGTTCTAAATATTTATATATAATAATAATATTTACATTGATTTAACTTCAGTTTAAGAACTTCTTAAATGAATATTCTAATGTGGTAAATAAATTAAAATGAAAATAGGTCTTAGACCTTTTTTTGTATTTAAACCTACTTATACAATTTTTTATGATAAATTTTATTAAATTACATCAGTTTTCCATTAAGTCTTAAATCTTTCTAAATGATGAATTTCTTTTTGTATTTCATATGCCTTATTAATTCGATTTACTTTGTTATTGACTTACCATAATTAACTTTCAATTTCTGGACTTAAACTCCTAAATTTGAAAGAGTCTGATCTTGGTGAAGCACTATAATTATCTCTAGCAAGAGTTGTGAGTTCAGTTATAATAGGTTTGTTGTATGAATTTTTTGTAACTTAAGTATACATTTTTTGACTTGATTTATCTCTTTCTGTTTTCTTTGGTCTGTTTTCTGTTTTCAAATTTTTTGTATTTTGATGTTAATCACCATCAAAGTGCAATTAAGCTAATTGATATTTTCTCAATTTAATCATATCTTCTTTTGTTTTTTAAAGAATGTTTGGGAAAACTATAGGTTTGATACCAGTAGGAATAATATATTTAATAGAGGATGTTCTGGAATTTAACAAATGAGTGCTGGTTTTGTTAGTTTTAATCACAGATTCAATTAATGGTAGTCTAGATAGTAAAATATTTAAATATGTTAATACTTTTCTTCTGTAAATTCTGTTTCAATTCTCTATTATTTAATCTTATCGTCAATCAAAACTATTGGAATATATTCTTTTTATTATTACATATTGAATAAATATTTAATATATAAATTTTTGTTTTACATTACAATCATTCCAATTCATCTAAGATTTCTACTTTCTCACCAGAAGAACACATATTAATACAGAAATGAATATCATCATTATCTGGATTATCAAATGTTAATGTTATAGCTTAAGTATCATTTGGTTTATTTTTACATGTAAATTTAAGTGTCTAAATTTGATAAAAGATTTACCTTATTTTCTAAATTAACTTCCACAATAATAATATCACCAGTTGTAAAAGTGAATGATTTCTAAACCATATTCTCTTCTTTTTTAGAATGAGACCAAGTATGTGCATTTGAAGATATCATATAAGAACCATGTCCCAAATTTTAATGATCAAATTTCATACTTAAAATGTTATTATACTTTATTACTTCTTTCCTAAAAGAACATTTTTATAAGCAATTCCTATGCCAATAAAATTTGTTAAATTGGAAATCTTTATAGCTATTTTACAAGACTCTACAATTTGAGGTTCAATTAATATAAACCTATTTTCACTATTTTAATTAGCAGTTTGATGAGCATTCTTTTATTCTGTAATATTAATCGATGGAGATTTTACAACACTACTAAATGTGAAATTAGTTGAATTTTATGCTAATATTGGTAAAGTGAATTTTTCAATAGGCTTAGAAATTTTGGAAGTTGATGATTTAAATTACGTAAGTAAATGATTAAATTAAGCAATTGCTTCTTAAGACTACAATATTAAGTATGAATTAGATTACAGCTTTTTAATATTAATCAAATAATCTCTATGGTTTGAAATCTATTTCAATCTTTCCAGCCTATTATTAACTAACATTATCTATTATCTTTCTAACATCCTATTTAAGTTAATCAACATTTTTATATTGACTATTGAGTATTTACTAAAATATTTATGGAAAATTCATTTATGTTTAATTTTATTCCAATAATCTTTGTTTAGTATTCTTGTGACTTAAATTGATTTAATCTTCCAATAATTTTATTTATCTTATAGTAGTATAAATAATATACAAAACCATTTTTTGTACTGTCTCTTTAAGACTTGATAATAATTTGGTACGCACTTGATCTATTTAAGTCAATAATTAGTCAATAGAATTTTGATTCTATTTTCCATTAACATTATTTGAAATATCAGCAAGGAATATCTTTAATGGAATCACTTTATGTTTTGCATGTTTTTATGATCTACAAACTGGACATATAAGACCCATTTCTTTGCAAGTTGTATCAAGACAAACAAAATTTAGTTGCTCTCCTTCATGCATATCTCCAAGTGTGCAATTCAAATAATTTATAGCTCTAGTCTTAATATCCTCTGACATTTTATTAATGATATTTAAATAAAAACACGAAATGAACATCAGGTGGGGGTAGGAATTAATTATAATACTCAAAACTAATTAATTTCATAATATGAGTATTTTGATCAGAAATAACAATCAATATATTCGAACTCCTTCAAATACTAAGAATTTCGTTATAGATATAACAGTTTTTTGAATATCTAAGTAATCTAAGTGCATCTATAAATAATAAAAAGATCCATTCACTTAATATTCAATATATTATATTAATAATTATGCTAATTACTTAAACTAAAACAAAATATCTTATAATAATAATCTAAGTGTAAAATGAGAACATTAATTAATGTTGGATAATTATTATACTTTTTTTTATCACTTAAACTATATATATTAAAAGGGACCATTTATGAACTGTTAATTCTTATCTTACTTGATATTCTTAAAATTTTATATAACTACACATTTTTATGAAATTTAATATGTATAACACTGAAAAAATAAATAATAAAGGTCATTTATATAAATAGTGGGAATTAGAATATTATTAATAGAATGTTTTATAGAACTTAATGAAACATAGAGATTAACAATACACATCCCTTTAAATTAGATGATTGATCATTCTTATAATGAATTGTTAATGAGTTTATTTATAAAATTAATTTTTAATTTATGTAAGTCGAGACATTCAAGGATTAACTCTAAGCAAAATTACGATAAAAAAGCTCACCTTAAAATGAAAAAGGATTAATACTATTATAGTCCATTGAAAACAATCTTAACCTTGAATAAAGAACAAATCCTACTGCATATATTGCACAATTGATTAATTTATTGAAATCTACCAAAGAAGGTTAGGATGTTATTATTTTGCTAATTTATAAAGTAATGCAAATCTCTATCAAATTTAGATATTACCATCAGTTCCAATTGTCGTCGTAAGAAAGTTAATTTCTGCTTTATTAGAGGAGATAGGAAAAGCCTAATTAGATAATTTAAGTGTTGGTGTTTTTGGTTAAATTTTAATATTATCATCTAAAGAAGTAAATGATATTCTCTATTAAAGGATTTAAACTCACCAAAAATGCATCAATTGTTTAATCTTTTATTATAGTAAACTATAAGTGATAAAAAAAAACTCAGAAAATAAGCAATAAAAACATTACAATCATTTTATTAATAAAAAGCATTAGATATTCAATAGATTCCTGAAATAAATGAAAGACTTAAAACTCATTTAAAAATAAATTTACAAGAAAATAATGAATGTGCATAACATTCACTAACTCTTTTAGCATCTCTTAATAATCTCATTCCTTACTCTATTCTTGTTGATGCATTGTATGTAATAATCGAAGAGATTTAAAATATGGATAGCAAATATTATCCATTTATTTTTCTTTCTTTAGAAGTAAATTTAATTTATAAATATATTTAGTAAGTACTTTAATAAAATGTTGGAGCAGATTAAGCTGAAAAATTAATATAATAGTTAAATTAAATACAACCAGAAGAAGTTAATGCATAACATGCTTATATTTAGTGTATTAGATAATGTCTAATTACATTAAGTTAGAGTTCATTATCTTTAGCTGCATCTTATTTACCATCTACATTATCTAATATGGCAGAGTTACTCTTACAAAATAATTAAAAATTAATGCAACATTGCAGATTAGAAATGATGACCTTAATTGAGAAAATAGGAAAAGCAACACTATCTCTTAAACAAGATTTGGCTGAAGATATTATGAATTTGGAATTAGAAAGTGCAGGAACATTATAATAGAAATATATAGCTACTTTAACATATTTATTTAGTAATAGATTTGATCATGCTAATATACTTGATGTTTTTGCTAAATTCTTTGCTACTATTGATGATAAAACATTTGAACATTGTAAAGAAATAATAAAAGAATTTGTACATAATAAGAGTAGATGGCCACATGTATATTTTGAAAAGACATTTGGTTAATTATGTAATGGAGTGAGTATGTCTAATTTATTACGCACATTTCCACTTAAAACAGAAGGAGTCAATCCTTTAGATAAAGATTTTGATGAAAAATCAAATTGTTGGATTTTATATATATTAAGTAAATATGCTAATCCAAAATTGGAAGAATTCCTTGATTTCCTATTTCCATTAACTAATTTGTTATCTTTAGCATCAAATGCAAATCCATCTCATGAATAAAAAATCATTTAAAATATACTTTTCCATGTATTAGAAATAGCATCAAACTCAAAAGTAACTAATGATTCTTAAAATCATCCAAAACTAGCTTAATTTATTGAATTGACATTAAATTATTTAAAAAAAGAACATGTATTTTTTGAAAAACTCTTATTAATGATTGCTAAATTGTTTTCATAATTAGTAACATTTTCATCATTATAAAATTTTGCAAAATAATACATTTCAACTTTGGCTAAATTAGTTGAATAAAATAATTGCACTCACACATTAAATGCTATTAAAGTTATGAGCTTTGCAGCACCTAAATAATATATACAAGAAGCTTTTAAGAAAAATATGGATAAGTTATTATCATCCAAAGATAAATTAGATGATAAAGCCTTAAATAATATGGATATAGTGTTATAAGTTGTAAGTGCCTAATAAATGACTTCAGATCTTTGGGATTACTGTATTAATTTTACAAAGGAAATGATCAACATACCTATTATTTAAAAAAAAATATATAAATTCTTAGCAGCTATAATACCAAAAGTTCATCATACTTTTTTAGCTGAAGTATATAATTTAGTTTTAGAAGCTGAATGTGAACCTAGTTCAAGATAAAAAAGATTTTAAGTAATTTTATAATTGGAATAATATGTAATTTCTAATTTAGATAGCTATTAAACATTTATATAATAGTTTTTACCTGAAATGGTAGTTGCAATCAGAGATAATAATATTAAGACTCGTATTCTTGCTGAAAAATTGATAGAAAATATTGGATAAAGATTATTAGGATTAGATTTATTAGATTAATTTATATCTATGGTATTTGCAGGATTGGCAGCTTAATCAAATGTTATGAAAGCTGATGCTGTTGCTACAATTTCACTCTTAGTAGATAAATTTTATTAAAATTTAAAAGGTGAATTCATAGATGAAATGACAAAATTAATTTTATTATTGTTGAAAGAATAAAACAATGAAATTTTTAAATCCATAATTTTATATGTGAAAGTATTAATCAAACATAGACATACATTGAATTCATAGTTATTCACTTAATTACTTAATTTAGATGAAGTATCAAGAGATAAAAATATTATAATATTAAAAAGATTGTTAATGAAACTTAGTAAAGCTTATCCTGCTACAGCTGAAAGTTTAATACCATAAGAACATATTAAATTATTTAAAAATGCTATAAAAATAGAGAAATAATAGAAAAAAAAGAAAAATAAAAGAGATTAGGAGAAAGAATTGAATAAATAAAAATGGTAAGAAAAAAAACAAAAATAACAAAAAGATTCTGATCTTGAAAGTGATGAAGAATCTGAATAGGAATTAGGAACAAAGCCAAAGTAATAATAAGGAGGTATGGAAACTGAAGCAGAAGTTGAAAATAATCTATTATTAAAGTATGATTTTAAGAAAGAGTAATTCCATTTTGAAGATGCAATAAAATAAAAAAAAAAAATTTAAGAAAAGGAATAATAAAAATAATCTACTATTAAACCTTTAGTTGAGTATAAGGATGGAAAGGTGATTGTAAATGAATAAAAAGAAGTATTGGGTTAAAAGCGTAGAAGAGAAGCTGCAAATAGTGATGATGAAGAACATGCTTAAAAGAAAATAACAAGAAATGATCGAAAAACAAAGGATGTTGTACATGTAGTAAAAGAAAGTGGTTCTACATTTAAATCAAAATAAAAGGCAGGTGGTGATGTAACTGTAAAAGGAAGACCTGAACCATTTGCTTTCATATAATTAAATCCAAAAGTAATCTTTATTCATATCTCTAATTTTAGGCTCTCAATAAAAGATTCAAGAATCAAGCTAGCAAAGCATTTGAAGAAGTATTTTCAAAAAAATCAGGTGCCCTTAAAGGAGTAAAGGCACATAAATGAAAGTGTAATATATTATTTAATCAATATAATTAATTAAAATGTTAGCATAGAGCTAACAATTATAGTCTGATCAAAAACCAAAGCTAACTTCATCTATAGGTAATTTCCAACCTTTACTCATATATTCACAATACTTTCCATATTATAAATTCTGTTTGCATTTAAATTTTAGAATACAGTTCCCTAAAACCTCCACGACACCCTTAATCTGACTAAATAGATCAAAGCAGAATATAAAAATAAATGGGCTAAAAAAGATATAAGAATGAAGAACAAGAGGCAAAGCAAAATGGTAAGGTTTCTTTACCTTCTTTACCAGGAATAAAGAAATAAGAAATTCCTAATTTTGAACCTTGTATATAAAATAAATGATATTGTTTAGAATAGAAGTTGATAAACATAGCAAATTATGGAAATGGTCATAGAATTCTAAGTAGATTGCCTAAATTAGATGCAAAAAGTGATGTTCCAAAATAAAAACATAGTTCCAATGGTCCTTAAATGAGAAGTCCAAAGTAATTGGATGAAGAGTCTCCAATGCCTCATTATTCTTCAGTAACACCAGAAAAGAGACAATAATTTAGTCCTGAAAGATAAGTATTAAACAAAAGAAGATTAATGGCAAAAACATGGTAAGGTGGATTATTTGCTTCAAAGACTAAAGCTGGTTGTCTTCCTAATAAAACATTAAAGACTAATTAGGATGCTGCAATCTTATTTCCAATAAATTTAGAACAGTAAATTGTTATGATTATTTAGAAAGTTACAATTGTTCTTTAATTGCTGTGTGTGATGGACATGGAACAAATGGACATTTAGTATCAAATTTAATTAAATAATAACTACCAAAATACTTAGAGCAATAATTTCAATAATAAGGAAGAGATATAGAGAAATGTTTAACTGTAGCTTTTGAGAAAACCAATAAAGAAATAATAGAAAGTGAATTTGATACAACATTATCTGGATCAACATCAGTAGCAGTATTAATAAGAAAAGAATAATTATGGACAGCAAATGTTGGTGATAGTAGAGCTATTATATGTAGAAATTAAGATGGATGGAAAGCAATTTAATTAACAAGAGATCATAAACCATCTGATGAATAAGAAAAGTAAAGAATTATTGAAGCAGGTGGTAGAATTGATAGTTAAAGAGGTTTAAAATATAATAATAAATTATAATAGATTTTTATGGAAATTAATTAGGACCAGAGAGAGTTTGGTTATAATATATAGATGCTCCAGGATTAGCTATGACAAGAAGTATGGGTGATAAATTAGGAGCTTAAGCTGGTGTTATTAGTATACCTGAAATACTTGAATATACAATTACACCTTAAGATCAATTTATAATAGTAGCCTCTGATGGTGTTTGGGAATATCTAACAAATGAAGAAGTATAAATTAAATATAATTAAGGTTATGAATGTTGTAGCTCCATATATAGAAAAAGATAATATTGATTTAGCTGCTGATAAATTAATGGCTGAAGCTATCAATTCTTGGAAAAAACATAGCTTAGCAAGGGATGATATAACTTGCATTGTTGTTTAATTGAAAAATTAGACCTGAATTTTTATAATTTAAGTTAAAGTCAGAAAACCTCATATTTTTTAAATTAAATAATCTAAGTAGTTTTATAATTTCTTTTTAGAGTTATTAGTATAAAATTGATTTTGTTTAAAGAATATTAATAATTGAGTTTGTTCATTAAATTTATCAAAAGCTTGTTATCAAGATTCTTAAATTAGACAAAAATATTATTTGGAAACTTTTTCTATTGAAAAATTTCATAAAAAATAAGTTAATTTCTATTGATAATAAACCTTAAATGTAATATTATCAGATCATTGGATCTCTGGAATAATCTATTCTATAGTTTTTAGATAATAAGATAATCTATTAACATGCTTTACTCTTATTTAGACTTTAACAATTAAATTTTAAAAGTCTTAAATTTCTTTTAAATTTTAATCATTAAAAAATTCTATCAAATTAGGCTTCAAATGGTAATTCCATTTAATAGAATTTTAATCTTTTTCATCTCAAATTGCATTGAATACTGCTTAAATTTAATTTTTAAATAATATTTCAATTTTCTTTTGAAAAATGTGTGCATGTCCGATTTTTTCATAGATCAACGTAATCAATCATAATCTATTGAATTCATTTTAATTATTAAAATTGTATTGACTAAAAAGGAATAATCAATTTAATCATAACATCACTTATAAATTATTTTATTAATTGATTTGATTTACACATATTATTTTTCATTTAAACTCAACAATTGTTCCAAAATATGTATGTTTTATAACAGGATGCTTGAATAACACTTCACCTTAAAACATTTTTAATAATCCAGAACACACCTTCTCCCATCCAGTCAAATTAGTAAGACTATGCAAAATTGGACTATGCTCATGGAATGGTCCTTTTTTAACCTTTTAACATAAAAATAATGTTATACATTATTAATGAAATCTATACATTAAAAAAACATGTATTCTGCTTTATAATTCTTAATAATGTTGTCTTTAATAATACAATCAGGAAGTATACCATCCTCATTTTATATCTAAAAATAGATTAATTTTCAAACCAATTCTGCAGCTCCAAATACGAAAGGTAAAAATTAATAATCATCCAATCCCCAAACTCCATGAGAACCTGCTGGTTCAAGCATATAAGTCATTTGCACTTTTCTTGCAAAATTTATATACCTAATATTGTAATTAATATTTAAATACCTATAAAATGCTAATCTCACTATTCCTTCATAATCCTATTCAGTATAAATGCCTAATCTAAATAAAGAAAACAAAAAGAGGAAGAATTAAAATTCATGTCCTGTTCCATAGTCTATTCTTTATTTATTTCCAAATGAATCCAATAAATAAGATCGAAGTTCAACAGCAGCATTTTACAAATTCTAAGGTAATTAATTTTTAAGATAATCATCAACTATAGGGCCAATTTAATCTAACCAATCTCTAAAGGCTTTGTTGCCATATCTCATTGATTATTAAATTGGTGGTACTTTCAAAAGTAACTATTCTAACTATTAAAATAATTATTCTTATCATATGATAATAGAATACAAATGTGTTAAAATTTTTAATTATCTGCTGTTTATGAAATTTTCTTATGTTAGATTGATTGTATTAGTGATTATAAGAATGTTAATAATTCTCCAAGTATTTTTGTCTTCTTGAATTTTTCAACATCCTAATCAGTTATGATTTTCTTCTCCACCTATTGAAATTAATGCTTTGACCAATCATATTAATTGTCCATTTAATGTGAGAAATATTTTAAAAATTTATATTAATATAATTTACAAATATCCACTAATAATAATTTTAAAATTATAAGCTCTAAATATAATATTTTCAATTCATAAAATCCTCTCTTATTGTTCTCTTAATATACATTAAGAGATTACATTATTATCTAAGAGACTATTATAATTATATAATTTGATTTAATGTTAAAAATTTAATACTTTAGTTGAGATACTCTGTTGTTTTTCTGAAAGCATTTGATTTTATTTATAGTTTGCATACTAAATTTTATTTATTAAATAAATTAAAAGATTTCAGCTAATATTGGACTAAAGTTTAATTATAAGATAGTAGAAAAACTAATAATAAAATAGAAGCTTTAAATAGTATAGTATAATAATTGCATATTAATCTAAAATATTATTTACATTTTATTAAAATTAATATTATCTGTTATTACAATATCATCTTAATCACAAAATGAAGGGAAGCTCATAGAAGAATAAAATCTTAGAGCAAATTCAAAAATAAAGACGTTCTTAATCTAGATAGAATGATTCTAAAATAAATTCCTTGCATTTCTAAGGTATTTAGATTCAGGAGTTTAACAAGGAGATCGATGAGTATTTAAAAACATTTTCAAATTTATGTATTGCTTTATAATATGGATAGAATAATTGGGATTTTAGAGATGTAGACTTCAATCCCTAAATAATCTCTCTGAATATAAAAATATTAATTCATTGAATTTAGAAGAAAATGCTTTAGATGATGGAAGCATCAAATTAATAGTTTAAAAATTTCCATCTTTAACATTTTTGAATTTGAAGAAAAATTAAATCAAAGATTTCGATGTATGACACTTCCATTATTCACTAGGAAATTGAGTAATTAAAATAACTTGACCAATTAACACATCTATTTCTAGATAAAAATCCGGTTTGTGATGAAGATAATTTTACAACTAAAATTTGGGAAATGCTACCAAAATTAAAAGCATTGGATGGAAAAGACAAGAAAGGAAAGATTTTTAAGGAAAAAACTGAAACTTATGAAGATGATGATGAGGATGAAGAAGAAGATGAAGAGGAAGTATTATTAAATAAAATAATTTTAGATAGATGATGATGATGATGACAGTTTCTCTATATCTGATGATGAAGAAGATGAAGAATATAGTGAATTAGAAGAAAGTGAATCAGAAAGTAATAAAAAGAAAAAGAAAGTTAAAAAATGATATATTAAATTATTTAATATAAAATATTAATAATATCTAAATATAATATATTGACTATTCACTTTGAAACTTGAATTCATTTATAAGAAAATATTATAATCTTATAGATGTTGATAAAGATATATTAATTGGAAGATTATATATATTGTTAACAGTCATAATAATCAAATCAATTCATGAGAACCATCATCTTCCATTTAAATATTTTCATCTTTTTCAATCAAGGCTTCATCAAATTTCTAATCTTAGGAATCATTTTATTCAAGATTAATAGGTTAATATTATTATTATTGCTATTACTATTATTTTGGTTATTTTTATTATAATTATTTGATTAATTTCTAAAGATAAAATATAAAAATATACATCTGATTTAGACTGTGGTAGTTGAGTCATTTCAGTTTTAGTAAAATATTCTTTAACTTTATCTTAATTATTATAAACCCAATATAATCCAAATATAATTCCTCCAATAACTAACCAATCAAATATCCAACCTTTATTATTTGGACAACTAAATCTCATTGATGGATGTTCCACTCCGCCCTCACATATATCTCCTGCTATTTTTCTATAACCACTAGAAATAGTATAATAGCCATTGCATTCAGCAGGTGGATCAATATTTAGAGTACCATTAATAGGTACACATAATTAATTATTCATCACAAAACCTAAATCACATTCATAATCTTCTTATGAACATTAACATGGTGTTACACTAATGATTTTCTCTAATGTATCAGGATTATAACAAGCTGCTTCTCTTCTTTTTCTCATGTAAGTTACTTTTTTACCAAATAAACATTCTGGATTCACCAAACCAGATGGAGTCCATAATTCATAATCACTACCAATTTCTCCAGGTTTATCTTAACCTATACAATTCCTTTAATGTAATTCATCTAAATCTAAAGTGGCAAGTAATCCCTATTCAGTTTTAATACCATTAGATTCTAATTAAATAGAACCATAAGCTATAAATCTAGTTCCTTTATTTTAAGGTTCAGTAATTATATTTTAGATTTCTGCCTTCTAATCTAAAAAATTAAATGGAGTCCATTCCATTCCACCATTCCAAGAAAAAACAATCTAATTAGTTGTTTCTTAATCTTTAGACATAACAACCAATCCTCCATGATTACTCATTTCATAAATATATGAACCTTTTTTTATTTCAATCCATGTTAAACCACCATCTCTACTTAAATAAGTGTTAACTTGATCTTATCTATAACTTAAATATTTTCCAATAGATCCTGTAGCTATTATTATACCAATTGAATTTGCTTGAGTATAAATAGGTGCAAATTAATAAAATGATTAACTAAGATGAATATGTAACTAACATTTATTACAATTAATTGGTTTCCCATCTGCATCAACTGTAGGTGGCTAATTATAAATTTAATAATTATACTTTTAATGGAACCCATTAACCACCTTTGTCAAATGTAATCCTTGTTTATTTGTATTTTTTCAAATCTTCATCTTTAAATCCATTTTATTAAGCATAAAATCCTTCTTCCAT